GTTAAAGAATGTGTCAGGATGAGCAGCACATGCAGTATGCCCTGTGCATTTCACGGTCCACTCTGTTGCTACATGTTCTTGAAGTGGCAAGCCTGTGATCAAGGGGACAGCCTGGCTATCCTTTTGCTCATGTGCCGTGCCTTGCTTTGTGGACATCTCCATAGGATCAGTCATCTGTAGTAGCCAGGTGGTTTTCCATGGAGCTGGGACCGTGTGGAATGGTGATTTTTGGAGGGCCCTGTGGGATGTGCACGGACAGGTGTGGAGCCTCCAAGAGCCTGTTTGTCCATCCCCCCTTCTCCCCCACCCCAGAAAGGCTTTGGGGATGAAAGAGGTTACTGATTATTGTAGAGACAAAAACAAGATAGAAAACTCATTGCAGACAGGATCACGTTCTGGCCAGCCTTAGTAACTCCATTTCTGTGATCCAGGTATTGTTTCAGTCTTCAAATATTTACGCAAGCCAGACACTGAGTCACACTGACACCCAGTGCTTTCCAATTAGCTGGTTGGATTGTTGTCTCCCCTGTTGTCGCACATTCTATCATGATTCTTTCTGGTACAGCCCTTAGTGCTGGTTCTGCACTTAATGGTACATGTAACCTTTTCATATTCTTATCAGCATTAGTACTGAGCCACAGCATCTTTTGGCCTGTAGGGTGCTGGACAGCAGAGTGGAACATGCGGATGGTTAGAGCTGCAAGCCAGCCACTCCTGGGTTTACACAGGGGACACGCCATCACTAGTCACTTGATCATGGGTAAGACCAGGTTATGTCAACTACCAGTGCTGCCTGGTCCAGGGGTACGGCAAGAGAGGATTGTGGAGAAAGAGGCACACCCACATCCTCCTGCTGTGTCAGCATCATCCCCCCTTTCCTGTGTGGCCACTGCTCAGGCTCTTATCTGAAATGTCTATATGGGATTTGTACACTGAAGAAGGAAGTCATGTAAATTTTTGTCCTGAAACTCGTGAAACACAGAATAGTATGTAGAATAGTGTGAAACTTATTTCAAAGGAAGAAAATGCCAACATCTCTGCAGAATGAATGGTGGCTCAAACCTTATCTGATGATGAGGAACAGGTTATGAATATCTTCGGTATGCTTCCAGAACGGTAACCGGTTACCGAACTTGGGGCGAAGTTTTCCTCCCTTAAACTTAGCCTAGTAGGATGGGCTAAAAGCTGATCCTGACAGAAATGAAAGACAAGACTGGTCACTTGCTATGAGATGCCTTCTCTGGACCCCGATTCCCAGGTGGCTGCCTTTCCATGTGTCCTCTCCCTGTGCTTCCCGTGATACAGTGTACTGTTTCCATGTTCCGTGCACTTGCGTCTTCCACCATCAGGTCAGGCCTCCTGGGAGGGGAGCTTGCCCTACGAGCCCTGTGAGTGCTTAGGCCTGCGTGTCCAGTACAGACGTCACTGGCCACATGTGGCTATTTGACTCAAATTACTTAAATTTTAACAAACAACTCAGTTCCTCAGCCTCCCAAGCCCTGCCTCTGCTAGGAGGCTCCCTGGGTGCTTATAGTTCCAGTTCCAGCCCTGCCCGGGCAGGATGGCCCTTAACTGGCACCGGTACAGACATGAAGCTCCTTCAGGAACGGGCCCAGGTGTGGCTGGTCCAGCATTTTATCCTCAAAACCTAAGATATTGTAGGTACTGAAGGGTTGTCTGCTGAATGAATAAATCTGTGTTTATTATATAGATGTGAGTTGGGAGCCAAATGTTAGTCTTGGAATTATTACTCAAATCTGACAAATGAAGATTCATAATACTTTCTTTTTTCCCTCCTTTCAGGTAACATGATATTACTTGGTTTGATTTCAAGCCACTTTTGAGACTTTAAATCTCCTCAAAATGGAAAGCCTAGTGTGGTTCTTCCCAGAAGCTCTTGGCTGCTGCTGATGGCTGAAACCGCACCTGCCGGCGGCTTGCTTGCAGCCCCCGAGACAGCCCAGCCTGTGCCATTCTGACCATGGACGGAACGCCAGCTGGATCTAGTAGTGGCACCCCAGCCGACCCGGAGGCCCTCCTCAAGCCCCCAGGCTCACCGGCACCGCCTGACCAGTGGGACGAAGCCCAGTGTAAGTCAGTGGTTACTCTGCTGCTGACATTTTGCCTTTAAATAGGAGGATGTGGATCCTCTTGCATTTTGGAACAAGACTGTGGTGTGTAAGACCATAACGAACTTTATGTTCAGAGTGTTTTTACTAATGAGATGAGTGTTTTTTCTTAGTTGCAACTTTAAATCAAGTACCGTGTGTGTTAAACAGGATAGGAGCTGTCCCATGCTGTGCTCCAGCAGGATGCAGCAGTGGGTTCTTTCCCCTTACGTCTTCTGTGGGTCTTCACTGACACATTGTTCCCTGCCTTACGTCCTACCTTTCTTGTCGGTTGGTTGCCTGAGTTTTACTAACTGGGATCCAGAAATGGCCCAGTAGTGATCTAAGGATTATTGGACCACATTTGCATGTTAGCTGATGGGTTATTCATGTGTCAGAACTACAGGGTGAATTATTCACTTGGTTCTTATGCCCCTTCCTGTTTAGGGGGGTCGGTGCAATGTGTGCTTGGAAGTCGTAGAGTCTGTAATACTGGTTTGCAGGCAGAAATTGTGTTCTGTTCTTTTTTTTAATAAGATTTTATTTATTTATTTGTCAGAGAGAGTACGGGCAGGGGGAGTGGCAGGCAGAGCAGGCAGGGAGAAGCAGACTCCCTGCTGAGCAAGGAGCCCGATGCGGGACTCGATCCCAGAACCTTGTGATCATGACCCGAGCCGAAAGGCAAACATTTAACCGACTGCGCCACCCAGGTGTCCCTGCATTCTGTTCTTGCAAATGATGTTCAGGCACCTAAAATGGTTTTGTTGATTACTGCTCCTTCAGTGCCTGGCAAGGCTGGTAACAGCAGGATAGGGATAGGGAGCCCGCTCTTAGATCCGTCACTAAGAGCTTGAACTCTCCAGCAGGGTTCGTATTTGATCTCATTTCACTTCTTGTGTAAGTGGAGGAGTAATGGTGCATGCACCATAGGATAGTTGTGAGGACTGAAAGAATGGTGCATAAAACACAAGTACTCCGACAGACGCAGTGGGAAGTGGTAGTAGCCATGTTTTGTCATTGTCTCATCATCTTTGTTACTTGTTTATCCACGATTTGGCTTTTGTTTGGGAACAATAGTCTTAATGTTTTTGGGCCTTCTTTTATATTTTTTTTTAAAGATTTTATTTATTTTTTTGACAGAGAGAGACACAGCGAGAGCAGGAACACAAGCAGGGGGAGTGGGAGAGGGAGGAGCAGGCTTCCCGCAGAGCAGGGAGCCCGATGTGGGACTCGATCCCAGGACCCTGGGATCATGACCTGAGCCGAAGGCAGACGCTTAACGACTGAGCCACCCAGGCGCCCTTCTTTTATATTTTTTAAAAGTATAATATAATGCTCAAAAAATTATTTTGTCATGTAAACAGGAAGATGTAGAGACTCTCCCAGATCTATAAGCCCATCAGAAAGTGGTATTGATCTGATTACCTTGTATGTGACATCCAGGCTTCCCTTCCCCCTCACCCAGCATGGAGCCAAAGGGATGTTTGCGTAAGAGCAGATGGTCGGGTCAGGGCTGTGGTCCAGTCTCCTCACTCTGCTTTGAGTCTGTGGTGCCCCTTTTGTTTTTCCTCTCAGGAAGCATGACTGAGTCGCTGTATTGGTTGGAACTCAGATGTCAAGTATCAGAAACCCATTTTGAATTTCCTTGGGCAAACGGCAATTTCCTGGATGCATCCTGGGTACATCCAGGGATCCAAGTGGTGTGGATCCCTGTGGGAGGCTGGGACCTTGCTGCCCTTGGAACCTCTGGAACCACACCCAGAGGCCCCTGGACCCTCCCTTCCTCCCTCCAGGCGCCATCTTGGTTCTTGACTGCCAACTGGCTCCCTGACCGGGGTGAGGGGACAGGGAAGGTAAAAATCATTTAATTGTAAGAAGTCTTTTTTTTCTTTTGACAAGGAAATAGGTTTCAGTTAGTGTATGACAAATCTGTGTATAGTGATGTTAGTGGGTAAAACTGAGCTGGATACGTGGGTGTATAGTCATCACTGTTTAAACTTGGGTTTTTATCTAGCAGGTGTTCATCAGACAGAAGCACAGACTCTGACTCTTTGCCGTAATTGTTCGGGTCAGTTAATGTACCTCTTTGCCTTAGATTTCTCGTTTTGGGGGATGAACTTATGCTGTGAAACAACTTTGGAACTGCCCCGGTGTGAGGCTGTCGCTCTAATGAGCGCGCTGTTTCCGGCGCCTGTTAGGAACGCTGTCAGCTGTGTTTTTAGCATTGATTTCCTTCCGCTATTTTTAAAACCAGACTTTCATGGGATTTCTCATTGGTCTTATTTAAATGAAAAGGAAACATTACTACTTAAATCCCACAATCTCGATTCCACAATGAGCAGTTGAGCCGCTTGTCCGATAGCACCCGCTGATGTGAGGGGAGCGAGGCCTGCTCTCCTCCCAGAGCAAACAGTCTCATGGGGCGTGGAGATAGCTCATTCTCCTGCATCTAGAGTCCCTTCTGTCCTGTGTTAGCTGCGTGTCTGAAAAACAACTTGATCTAGTTGTTAAAACCATGATGGCCCAGCATGCTGTCTTTTCCAGGTGCCAGTGTCCAGGTACACAGAGCTTCAGATGGAGGAGGAGGAGGCCTGGATGTACCCAGCAAGGGCGACACCTGTCAGAATGGGCCGACGCCACCGTTCCCAGACCCTTCGTCACCTCTCGGTTCCCCCACAAGCCCAGGGGGTCCCGATGCCTCTCCAGGTGTGGCTGGTTTCCCTGACAACCTAAGGAAGTCTCAGGGGACTAGTGCTGAGGGCAGTGTTAGAAAAGAAGCTTTGCAGTCTCTCAGACTCAGTCTTCCTATGCAAGAAACACAACTGTGTAAGCATCTGTTCCCATTGGGCTCTTCCCCACTCTCCCCCAACCCCCTCCTGCATCCCTTGGTACTCACCACCCTTCAGAGGCACGTGCCCTGACCAGCTTGCTGCTCGTCCCTCTGTCATCGCCGTTTTATCCCTGTGGTGGGTTGTGTGTTGAGCAAGTGGCCCCCTTTTAGAGAGAAAATACACTTCTTCCTGGTCGACACTGGGGATGCTGCTCCAGGTCTGGGTTTAAAGGACTGCGCGGCATGTCTTTTGTTACCGTGGATGGTGAGCAAGCAGTCAGCAGGGAGCTAAACTTTGACAGCGTTCTTTATTATTTTAGTCAGTGTGGGAACCCAGGGATGAACAGGTCACAAACTGGCAGCCTGTGAGCCCTGGAAACATCCAGTGCTTTTTCCAGCACGTTTGTCATACACAGACACACATGATCTTACATAATGGGATCGTACCACACATGCCGTTTTTACCTCTCACGCCCCTCCCCTGCAGGCAAGCCACATTCTCACACAATCCTTTATAGCCCCTGCAAACACCCAGGTTTCAGTCATTGTGTTTTGAGAAGAGATTAGATTGTCATATCCTGTATCTCCTGTTTAGTGTTACCATGTGGAGATTGCCCCTACGCTGTCTGATGCAACTCCAGATTCATTCTTGGAAGGCTGGTCAGGAGCCCCTGGCGTGGCCGGCTGGGTCTCTGCATTTGTTCCGTCGGCCAACGTGACCAGAGCTGTGGAGAGCGCCATGGCACACGTGTTGGTGCTTTAATTTCTGTGGGCTACACCCCAGAAGCAGAATTTTTGGTCCAAACAGTGGCATCTTTATTTCCATCGTGCATGGCCCCATCGCCATGCCACTAAGGACCCTGAGAGGCACGGGCTGCCCCAGGCTGGCGCTGTTTTCAGTTTCACCAGCCTGTTGGCTGTGCCACAGTTCTTCTCCAGTACTTCAGTTTGGAGCTCACACTTCCCTGATCATTTGGGCATCTTCTACCTGTTGGCCGTTTGGCCGTTCTTTTCTGTGAATTGTTGATTTGTTGGGCCCATTTTTCTTTTGGATTGTTTGCTCTTTTCTTCACAGGCATGATTTTACTAGGGTTGCAATATGTTTTTTAAAATTTCTGCAAACTTAGGGGTGCCTGGCTGGTTCAGTCAGTAGAGCGTGCAACTCTTGATCTTGGGGTTGTGAGTTCAAGCCACGCATTGGGTGTAGAGCTTACGTTAAAGAAACAAAATAACTTTTAACTGTCAACATTGAAGTCCAGAGCTGTCACATAAAAGTCTGGATTCTTGATTGTAGGGATTTGTGAGCCCTAACCCCAGGTGCCCACATGGCGGCATCCTGCGGCTACCAGCTGCCCCTCTTGGCGAGTATGCACCCAGCCCTGAGTCTGCTGACTTGGGCTCCCTGCTTGAGGCCGTAGACCCCTAGGTTTTTGCCATGTGGATCCCTTAGCCTTGTGAAAAGTACTAGACCTTTTTTTCAGTGATAAACTCACACATTAGTAATGACTTGGTGAGTTCCTAGTGAAGTTCTTGGCAATCTCAGGTTTTAGAGGTTATTGTTATAATTAAGATTTGTATTTATTTTGTGGGGGGGTGCGTGCTCGCAAGTCGGGGGAGGGACAGAGGGAGAGAGAGAATCTGCAGCAGACTCCCTGCTGAGCGTGGAGCCTGACCTGGGGCTCGACCTCACGACCCTGAGATCGTGACTTGAGTCAAAACCATGACCCCCCCCCCGCCGTCAGACGCTTAACTGACTGAGCCACCCAGGCGCCCCTGAGGTTTTAGGGATTATTTAAAACAACAGCTGCTTACCTTCTCAGAATCTACATCTGAAGATGGTACTGTCTGTAAAGTGGTTAAATTACGACATTTTCCCGCTCTTACCAGTCTAGTAGCTGACCTTGGCTGTGCCCTTGGCAGCATTCCAGGTGCACGGCGCTGAGTGTGAAAGAATCCTGTGGCTGTCATACCTTTTGCTCACTATTCAGCCCTTTTATTACCCAAAATAAAAGATTTGGGTTCTGAGATATTCTAAATTCTGTTTTTGGCCAAAAAGTTGTCATTTCCCCTCCTGTCCTTGAGCCTGGCCCCTGGACCGGAGTTGCCTCTGTCAGGAAACTGAGGTAAGCAGCCCCAGGCCTTGCGGGGATGCCTGCTCAGCCTTCACTTTGAGGTGAGTCCTGAATGGGTCACTGTGAACAGCCTTTTCCTTTTGGTTTTGCAAAACTTGACTGTAACGTGACTCACCGCAGGAATTTAGACAAGCCGTGGGTCAGATCGTATCCGCAGATGCGGCCGTGTGAAGAAGGCGTGTTTGGTGTCCCCTGACCACACGCTCGGATTATCCCTCAGTACAGTTCTGTGGACACGACTGCCCATGTGCTCCTATACCATGTCCCGAGCATAGCTGGAGCCTCGTGGGAGCTGAGGTTCCCTGAGCCTCAGAATACTCAGCCCTGGCACTGACTTTAGATTTAGTTCTTTTGTTGCTGCAAGTCACAGGTGAGCCGTTTTCCAGCTGGATGCCTGGGGGGAGTGGCACACTGGTGGAGTGAGCACAGACCCCGTGCTTTGCCAGTGGGTCTTCCACCAGGCAGGACCAGGGCTCACGGTCGTCTCTCCATCAGGAAATAGCTCTTTCAACCTAGAAGGTGAGGTATTGTTTGAAGTTAAATCATATTTAATTGGTAATTGAACGCAAAACAGCCAAGCTGCTGTTCTGATTTGTCCTCTGTGCCCTGGTGCTTTATGAGTTTTTAAATGGTCATTTCCTTACCGCAGGTTCAACAGAGGCTTCCTTGCCCCTGGAGAAGGAGGAGCAGGTCCGACTTCAGGCTCGGAAACGGCTAGAAGAACAGCTCAAACAATACAGGGTGAAGCGCCAGCAAGAAAGAGTGAGTCTCCCTGTCTTGAGCAAGCTGATGGGGAACTTCATGTGTGGAAAACAGAAATTGGACATAGTTTCTAGGACCTGTCGTTGGTTCCTCTGTGCTGGGATGGCCTTCTGTGCTTCTCTGGGAAGATCATTTCTTTCTGCAGTTCCCTCCCTGTGGGGAGATCAAAGCAGGATTGTGACTTCTGCCCCGTATGGGCCGCCTTCCCTTGGATCAAGCATATTTGATTCCTGTATCTGCCCTTTGAAAAGCAGAGACTGCAAGTACTTGGGTATAGTTTTTCCCCCTCCTTGAGCAGTCAGTTCTAGGTTTCAGCTGTTCATTTCATTAGTGGTGTAGTGTCTGCTGACCGATGGTCCATTCAGTGTCAGAGTGTCTGCCACGTCATGTGGATTTGATGAGTACGTGCTAAAGTCAGTTCTATTCGGGTATGAAACTTTGGTTGGCATGCTAATGAAAGCAGTCTTTTTAATCATATCGAGTGACTCTAGGCAGATGGGTTTGGATGTTCGTTTCATACTTTGTCCAACTCTTCTGTACTTGAGAATTTCAAATTTAAACGGATTCAAAGTTAAACTAACTTTTAAACAGTGAGTGATTTAGTGGTGACATGTCCCCATCAGGCTCTTTGTGTTCCCAAGAGGGGACTGTGCCATGATGGGTGTCATTGCTCCAAAGCCAGCGTGAGTGGGCTGGAAGAGCCACCACCAGGCCCGTCTGCCTGGTCAGGGGCTTTCGGGGTCTGTCCACATGGCCCAGCAGAAGTTATAGCGATAACAGCTAGTAATCATTTCTTGCCAGACACTGTGTTCAGTTCCCTATGGAACAGTAACCTGAGGCTCAGATAGGTAAGGAGCTTGTCAGGGGTCACTCAGTGGTGAAATGGAGAGTCAGAATGTAAACCAGACCGTGTCTGTGGGCTAGGGCCTGTGCACACTGCCTCCCGGAGGCCTGCCTGGGTCGTCCAACATTAGATGGTTAATGTGTCAGAAGTTCAATGTAAGATTCCAAATGTGAAATTTAACATCATTTTCCGTCTTTAAAAATGATATAATATACACACACAACTGATGGTTTAAATGGAAGGATATTTCCTTAGTCTTTAGTAAGATAACTTCTCTTCAAGGGATGGAAACGGGCATTGTGTTTGTTACATGCTATTCTGACCAACTTATGGTCCCTGCGTGCTCAGCTGCCCCCACCCTGAAGTAGGCAGAAAGACAGGCAGCAAGATGTTGGTATGAGGACCACCACCTGTCCTGCTCCAGCGACCCTCAGGGCAGGGCGGGCGGAGGCCGAGTGCAGTCTGGGGGCTGCTGTTGTGTGCGCAGACCAGAGTCTCCTTTAGTCCTCCTCAGCCCCGTGAGGAGTGGCTGTCGGTGAAGCTCAGAGCGGAATGGCTGGCTGTGTGGGGGTCTGAGCCTGCCTGTCTGCATGCCGAGCTGTGCTCCCCACTGCAGTGCTCAGTCAGCACCACCTGCCAGCATGCAGTTGCAGTCCCTTCTGAGTACAGGTCAGTTCAGAAGGGGAGACTCTGCCAGAACTCATTATGGTGGTAGGTCCATGTGAAGGGGCTTATGACCATCTCAACAGGTGCTGAAAAGGTAGGTGTTTGATAAAAATCAAAATATGCAAAACAAGTGAACAAAAACTACTAAACTAGGAGCAGAAGGATATTTCTTTAGGAATATTTTGCTTACACGAGGAACGTAGCTCAGACCCATATTCACATGCCACAGATGGCAAGTAAGAGTTCTGTCCTGTTTACAGTCTGATAAACACTTTGAGAACATCGTTATGCCTTGACGGTGGTTGGTTCTTCATACTGCCTGCCCTTCTCACCGTGTCCTGAGTGCCGTCATCCTTCACAGCAACGTGTGTACCAGCACTTCATTAGCAGCCTCTCCTGATCAACATTTTGGTTGTTTCTCAATTTTTGTGTTTTTTATTTTAAAAGATTTTATTTATGTGACAGAGAGAGAGATCACAAGTAGGCAGACAGGCAGAGGGAGAGGGAGAAGCAGGCTCCCCGCTAAGCAGGGAGCCGGATGCGGGGCTCGATCCCAGGATGCTGGGATCATGACCTGAGCCGAAGGCAGTCGCTTAACAGACTGAGCCACCCAGGCGCCACAGTGCCTTGGTATACTTTTGTGGACAAGTCCTTGAATGTCAAATTATTGGGTAAAGGTTTTATGTATTTGTTAGTTTGATACTTCTTGCACTCTGGATAGGCTGGACTGGTTTATACTCTAGTTAGCAGTAATGAGACTGCTAGTGTTGTCATCCTTGTGAGCATTAAAGTAACAAAAATTGGATTTTTGTCCTGTAATAGGTGAGAACAGCAGTGTCACCTAGCAGTTCGCACCTTTTATGTGTTAGTGGTTTGTGTCTTTTTTTTTTTTTTTAAGATTTATTTATTTTAGTGGGGGAGGGGCAGAGGGAGAGAGAGAATCTCTGGCAGACTCCCCACCGAGCTTTGGAGCCTGACGCAGGGCTGGGTCTCACGACTCTGAGATCACAATCTGAGCTGAAACCACAAGTTGGACACTCGACCAACTGAGCCACCCAGACGCCCCATGTTTGTGTGTCTTTGTCAGTCTTTGCTCATTTTTCTGTTGGCTGTCTTTTTGCTACGTAGGTGCTATATACCTCCTCCAAATGTGAAATTTAACATCATTTTCCATCTTTAAAAATGATATAATATACATACATAATGGAAGGATATTTCCTTAGTCTTCAGTAAGATAACTTCTTACTGAAGGGAAGTAAAAGGGAAAAGTAAAAGTAAAAGGGAAATTACTCCCTTTTCATCTTTATTACAAATATTTTTTCCCTGTTTGACATATCTTTTAACTACTTCTCTGGCATATTTTTCATTGCACATCAGTTTTAAATATTTGTAGTCAAAATTTTCTATCTTTGCTGTTACTTCTTTGGCATTTATGTTATATTTCAAAAGGACCTCCCCATTTGAGGAGTATAAATAGGTTCAGTGTTTTCTTCTTATAGAAAAAGTATAAGATAGTATAAAAAGTATTTTAAATGTGTTTTTTTAATATTTAAACCTGCTCCGTTTGAAATGTGTTGGATGAGGGCGAGAGGTGGGAACTTGCCCATGTGGATAGCGGGTTGGTCCTCACACTGCTCATTCCCTCAGCAGTTGCGGCCTTGCCTTGTGTGGCTCCTTGAACATCTGCAAACCCACCTGTACTTGGATGGATTTCTGGGCCGTATTTGGTGTCATCTGCCTGTCTTCTGCTTTTCAGTTCTCAGTGGATCTAATTACTGTGGCTTCACAGTCTGTGTTAGTATCTGGACCAGCCAGTCTATCCATTGCCCTGCACCCCGACTCTTTTCCAGCTGTTTTTGCTCATTTATACTTCCTGTCACATCCCAGTATCATTTTGAGATGTTTCCCTTTCCCCACCTTGTCTCCTTGCCCCGTCGCGATTGCACTGATTTCGTGGAATAAGCATAGGATTGGCTATTTCTCTGTAAGACAGTCATTTTGAAAAGGCAACCGGGGGGCACCTGGGTGGCTCATTCGGTTAAGCGTCCAACTCCTGCTTTCAGCTCAGGTCATGATCTCGGGGTGGTGAGATGGAGCCCCGCGTCGGGCTCCACACTCAGTGCAGAATCAGCTGGAGATTCTCTCTCTTTCTCCCCACCTCCCTCCACCCTTTCTGCCTCCCCCCTTGCTCACACGCGCATGCTCTCTCTCTCTCAAATAAAATCTTTACAAAATAGCAACAGGGAACAGTGTCTGCTGTCACCCTCCATCTCCTTCAAGGCCCTTTGGGAAATTCAAGTTGACATAATAATATAAGAAAAAGAAGTAAGAGATACAAATACTGAAAAAGAGGAAAAATGTTATTTGCAGGTCTTGGTAATGCTTTGGAAAACAGAGCATCAACTGAAAAAATTATCATTTATTAAAATATTCTAAAATTATTAATGATTCAGAAAATTGTCAGTAAAATACAAATAGAAAAATCAATAGTTATCCTAATATGACTAGTTATAAAAATAGTGGGAAAAGATAGTATTTATAACAATAAAATAATAAAATATCTAAGAATTAAATTAAAATGGCAATAGAAATGTTTCAGAATCGGGGAGCCTGGGTGGCTTAGTCAGTTAAACGTTTGCCTTGGGCTCAGGTCATGATCTCATGGTCCTGGGATCGAGCCCCACATCGGGCTCCCTGCTCAGTTGGGGACTGTGCTTCTGTCTCTCTCTCTGCTTGTTGCTTCCTCTGCTTGTGCTCTCTCTCTCTCTGACAAATAAATAAATAAAATCCTAAATTAAAAAAAAAAGATATTACTTAGAATTTAGATGAATCCTACATATTTTCCTTTGTTGAGAAATGCACAAGGAGGTATGAATAACTGGAAGCAGCTTGTTACCCTAAATAATTATAAATCTAAGGTCGTTGTAATTCAGCAGGGCTTTATTTAACTAGAACATTTCCTGGGCACCTGGTGGCTCAGTTGGTTGAGCGTCTGACTCTTGGTCTCAGCTCAAGTCATGATCTCAGGGTCATGAATTCGAGCCCCGTTTGGGGTCCACGCTGGGCATGAAGCCTACTTAAAAAAATAATAATAACTTGAGGGAGGCCTGGGTGGCTCAGTTGGTTGAGCATTTTCCTTCGGCTCAGGTCATGCTCCCAGGGTCCTGGTATCGAGTCCTGCATCGGGCTCTCTGCTTAGCCGGGAGTTTGCTTTTCCCTCTCCCTCTGCTGCTCCCCCTGCTTGTGCGTGCTCGCCCTCACTCTCTCCCTCCTTCCTTCCCTCCCTCCCTCTCTCTGACAGTTGAATAAACAAAATCTTTAAAAAATAATAACAACTTGAACATTTCAAGTCTGTCGAGAAGAGTGAGTGCAGGAGGACTGCCAGGAAAGCCTCGTAAGAGCAGGGTCGTGAGGAGGGACTTGCTCTGGTAGAAGTTTTAAGATGATGCCAAGTCACAGTTACGAGAGGCATGTGCTGGACCCGTGACTAGGCGCGGAACTGGTGTGTGAGGGTTTGCGCAGGGAGGGTACTTGCTGCAGCCTTTCTGGGTGGCAGTATTTGAACGCTGCTTGTCACTTTCCAACATCATTTCTGTACTTTTCTTTCTCAGTCCAGTCAGCCTGCGGCTAGAACGAGACTATCTAGTACACTTGACCCGGAGCTCATGTTGAACCCAGAAGCCTTGCCCCGGGCCAGTGCTGTGGCCCTGACAAAGGAGTATTCCTTCCTGCGCACCAGTGTCCCTCGAGGCCCAAAGGTGGGCAGCTTAGGGCTCCTGACACATCCTAAAGGGAAAAAAAGTTCCAAATCAAGCAAAATTCGGTCTCTGGCTGATTACAAAACTGAAGACGAAGGTTCTGGGAGTTCTGGTGGAAACGTTCCGGCTGTAGACTCTGCCAGGGGCTCTCTGAAGCAGAACCGCAGCAGTGTGGCGTCCGTGGTGTCTGAGGTTAGCCTGTGTCCTGAGGCCGACGATCACCTGGAGAATGCATCCCTGACGGGTGACAACACGTCTGAGGCCGATGGGAATGAGAGCGACAGCTCCTCCCACAGCAGCATGTCTACCCGCGGGACATGTGGGCTTCTGGTGAACACCGTGGGCACTCGAGAAGCCTCCTATGTGGTCAACGGCCAAGAGATTGCCGCTGGTGCGCTGGGCCAGTTCCCCTCCATCACGGATGTCCTCCAGGCCGCAGCAGCTGAGCACCAAGACCAGGGGCAGGAGGTCAATGGGGAGATGCGGAGTCGGACAGACAGCATCTGCAGCAGGTGGGTGCCGTCTGCAGGCCGCCCCTCCACTACTGGAGCTGACAGCGCTGTTCTGCTCTCCTAATTATGTGTTTAGTCTTTAACGCTTCATTTATACACAACTCTGTTGCCCTGTAAGAAATGGAATAGATCAGTAACCGTTTCCATTATTAAGATCTGCTGTTTTCCAGTATTTGTGCAGATGTGTCTCCAGGACTGCATGGGTGCTTCCCCGGGCTGACGTTTGACTGAGGATGTCCCAGCTCCGTGGGGGGGTGTTTATTGGTAGCATTTGTAAGAGCACTGATGCTTGATTTAAATCTTTTAACTTATTTAAAAAAACCGTGGGGGAGAGGAGCAGCGGTGTGAGGAGCCCGGAGACGCGGGGCAGGTGAGGAGGAGCGGTGCTGCGTCCTGCGACGGCAGGTGCCTGATGCTCCGTGCCCTTGTTCCCCAGTGTGTCCCTGGAAAGCTCTGCTGCCGAGACCCATGACGCCATGCTGCAGGCCCTTAAAGACAAGATGAGGCTTGAAGGGCAGCTGGAGGCGCTGTCTGCAGAGGCCAGTCAGGTAATGGGCGCGCGCGGGCGGGCGAGTGTGCTGCGGCTTTGAAGGGTGTGCGGCGCCTGCTGGTCGGGTGCGGTTGTGCACCTGTCTCGGAGTGGAGCCCGGGCTTCTGTGTCCTCTCCCTTGGCTCCCCGAGCCTCAGGAAGAAGTGCGCTCGTTTCCCGTCTGACTGCGCGCCTCAGTCTTCCCCGTATCCCTGTCCTGGCTCTGCTGATAGATACCTAACCGTCCTTTTGGTGGATTTCACTTCCCTGGCATGGTAAAATTGTTGTCTCTGTCCCTTTAATTCTTTTTGCTGTGGCTTTTGCTTTTCCTGATGTGAATTTTGCTGTATCTGTTTATTTCCATCCCTTAATTTTCAGTTTTCCTGTTGACAGTCAGGGTAAATCTGTTCAGTGGAAGCCAGCTCTGGGTTTGGTGTGGAGAGCAGGGACGCACACGGGTACAGAGGTGGTGTCGAGGCTGCGCAGGTGTTCGAGTACCGGGCACAGGGGTGCGGCTCTGCCAGACGTGCCCCTCGTGCCTGATGTGGTTTTTTGCATGACGTGGTTCTGGGACACAGACCGACCCTCTGTGTACATAGACCTGTGTTGACTGAGGAGGTGGTTGCTGGGAATGAAGGTGAATTTTGGTGGCACATGACTTTCGCTGTCTGTCCCTCGTCCAATGCATTTTTGCTTCATCTGCACATTCAACCCCATGAATGATGTCGGAACCTTTGTTTGCTTTTATTTTACTGTACCTTCTTTTCCTCCTGGGATACTGACTGGCTCTTGAGTTGTGTGAATTGTGACGGATGTGATCCTTTCTGGCTTTGCTGTAAAAATCCAAGTTCTACTTACTGCAAAATCTCATTGCATTTGCTCAGTTAACTCGATTTTTTTGGGTATTTGTTCTTCTGTTTGTTGAATTTGATGTTTGTCTTCCTGATGTTGGTTTTCTTCTCGTGTGTTGATGTGCATTTGTCTGCCCGTCTTTGCACTTTGGAATTCCTGTCCACACCCCCGATAGACTCATTTTTGGGTAGGCGGGAGATGCTGATGGCAGATGGAGCCTGTGCCCTTCCCCTGTCGTCTCTTGGATGTTCTCTGCTGCCCTGGGGCCTAGGGCTTGTCAAGGCCCCACCTTCCCTCTCACCTCCTGTATTATCCTACAGATAGCGTCCCTGTGGTGCCTTGTGTGCGCTGTGCCCCATGGCCCTGACCAGAGCCCCTCAGGGCCCTTCTTGTGTAGTAGGAGGCGGTCTCTCCCTGCGGGCATGTTCCCGGATCTGAGTCTGACGGCGCTTGGTGTTGTGGGGTTCCCTCGGCACTCCTGGTAGTCTGTGTGTGTACGCGTGCACCCTGGTGCACTTGTTTCTTGAACAAATGTGTTTTCCGACATCCTTGTGGGTGAGCAGGTGCTTGCACAGCTCGGGTATTACTGTGCAGAGAGTAAGCAGACTCCGTGGTCACCCCTCTTGCCCCTTTGGCCTGTTTGGAGAACCTGCCTTCTTTTGGGAGAGCCATCCTGTTAGAAGAGCTGGAAGCTTGGGAAACATGGTGCTTTCCCCTCTGTGTCTCACTCGTTCATTTTGGTGGCCCTCGTAATGCACAGGGTGGAAGTGGCTCATTTTCTGACAGTTTCTGATGGGGGGTCTTCCCAGGCACTTAAAGAGAAGGCAGAGCTGCAGGCGCAGCTCGCCGCTCTGAGCACAAGGCTGCAGGCACAGGTGGACCAGAGCCACAGCAGCCAGCAGAAGCAGGACTCCCTCAGTTCGGAGGTGGACACCCTGAAGCAGTCTTGCTGGGACCTGGAGCGAGCGATGACTGACCTGCAGAGCATGCTGGAAGCCAAGAATGCCAGCCTGGCGTCATCCAACAGTGACCTGCAGGTGGCAGAGGAGCAGTACCAAAGACTCGTGGCCAAAGTGGAAGAGATGCAGAGAAACATCCTCAGTAAGGACAACACAGGTGAGCGCTCCCCAGCCAGGGGGCGGTTTATCTCGTCTGCTCTGGGGATTGACCTGTTACATTAATATGCTGGGAGGCGTTGTATTCCCTGCTAATTTATGTACATGCTGTCCACTTCTCTAAAGTAAGTATTGTTTTTGGTTGAGTGCATGGAATTCTGTACATTTTTGCACATGCAGCAAAGGGGAGTGGCTTAGGTCTTAGAAATGGACTTTGGACCCTTGGTAGTTGGTGGTAATGTTTCCACTTATTCTGCCTTCAAAGCCTGCTTATTCCTCAGAATTGCAGGATCTATTTTAAAATATTTATTATTTGGGTGCCTGGGTGGCTCAGTCGGTTGAGAGGCTGCCTTCGGCTCAGGTCATGGTCCCAGGGTTCTGGGATTGAGCCCCACATCTGCTTCTCCCTCTGCCTCTGCCTCTGCCTCTGCCTCTGCCTGTCTCTCATGAATGGATGAATAAAAAATTAAAAAATATATTATTTATTTATTTTTTAAAGATTTATTTATTTATTTGAGAGAGAGAGAGCACTAGCAGGAGGAGAAGCAGACTCCCCACTGAGCAGGGAGCCCGATGTGGGGCCGATCCCAAGGACCCTGAGATCATGACTTGAGCCAAAGGCAGACGCTTAATCGACTGAGCCACCCAGGCGCCCTCTATTTAAAATATTTAAAAGTAACACTGCTGTTGTGGATTAGTAAACCTTTATTTTTCCTGCCTTAAGTTCAGTTTTTGCTGTAGCTGGATCCCTGGGGGCATCACCTATGGAATGAGAGTCCAATGGAATAGTGGTTTCAGGGGAACTTGGTGGCAGGCTGTGCACAGAGAGCCCCTTGTAGCCCTTCCCTCACACTGTCTTCTCTTCCTGGGGCATATACTGCACACCCCACCAGGCGCCCAGACGACTGCCTGCCTGCTCACGACAACTGCGTGCTGGCTGACAGAAGGAGGACAGGCAGGGGTGGGGCTGGGAGATTGAAGGTAGGCCCAGGTCTTAGATCTTCTAGTGCAGTCTGGGTAGATGAGGTTCCTTTTGCAGACCAGTGGGGGCGGTGTAGGGGCCGCTCTGCAGGACCGTGTAAGGCCGTGAGACCAGGTTTCAGATGTGATGACATAAAAGAAAACGTGACAAAGTTCTGTCACAGAGACTTATCCTGGTACTAGAAAGAAAAAAGTGCTAGCTGAGAAACACAACTGTGTACTGTTTTCAGTCTTTGAACATTTCGTGGTACCCCGTCCCTTTAGAAAAGTATAAAATCCAAGAAGTTCTGAGCACCAAAATAATTTTTTAAGTCTGCCTTGCAAGGCCTGTTGGGCAGCAGAGCTGACCGGCACTCACATGGTGTGAATGCCCGCACGTGGAGCTGAGGGCATGTCGGCCGTGGTCTGGACTGGGGTTGCCTTTCTAAAACGCCACCGCTCTGATCTCTGAAACACATCTGGCCCCAAGAATTTCCGATAAGGGATCGTGGATCCTCTTAAATTGTCATTTTTGTTCATTTTTTAAGTTTTGGAAATGGTCTTTAGAATGGTAAGTGTTTCCCTAAATGTTGGGTATAATTTTAATTTTAGAGTGTTTGACCAGTTCTGTTTGTAGTGTGCTTTGGGTTGTTGTGACTTGCCGTCCTCTCCTTGCCTCCCCGCTGCCCCATCAGTGTTAAGAGTTGACCGTATCGGCACACCAGTGGGTTTCAGTGGAGTTTTCAGCACAGTCCCGTTCTGTTTATTGACATTTGAGGACCAGAGCCACAGCACCCACAGTGGCTTTGTGGGCCCACAGTTGACCCTCAGTATCTGTGGATCCCTAATTGTGAATTCCCCAGCTCACTCAAATTTGTCTGTGACCCCAAAGCAGTACTACGCTTGGTCACTTGCGGGCAGGCGCACTGTATGCAGGATGGGCGTTGCCCAGCACGCTCACTCCCAGCTGAGCCGGTGCCTTCTTACGGTTTAGCATCACCTCCTTTGCATCTTTATGCTCTTTAGGGTGGTTTTACTATTTAAAATGAACTCCAAACACTGTCGTGTGTTCTTAGTGCAAGAACTCTGTGGTGTGTTTTACGGAGAAAAGAGCGTGTGTTAGGTGAGCTTTGTTTAGCCATGAGTTATGGTGCTGTTGGCTGTGAGTTCAGTGTTGATGAATCAACAATATAGATTAAATAAGGTGCCGTTACCCATAAGCGCTCACGAAACAAGGTTGTGTATTGACCAGTTGACCCCTTTTTCTCCCCCGGGAGCCATGGTTCAGCACCCTCGATTGCAGTGTGAATGAGAGTCAGCTGTATTTCTCAGTCTCTGCTGAGAGCCTGGCTCTGCTTGGCATGTCCCTGCAGAGCTGCAGGCTCTCCTGTGTGCAGCAGGTGGTCTGAGCTCTGCTTGCTTGCTTTCAGTGCATGACTTGAGACAACAGATGACGGCCCTGCAGAACCAGCTCCAGCAGGTGCAACTGGAACGAGCAACTCTGAGCAGCAAGTTGAAGGCGTCCCAGGCCGAGATCTCATCTCTGCAGCATGTCCGGCAGTGGTACCAGCAGCAGCTCGCCCTGGCCCAGGAGGCCCGGGTCAGACTGCAGGGCGAGATGGCCCATATCCAGGTATGGCCCCTGATGTATCTCGTGTGGAACAGTTGCCTTTTTCCTAAATTAATTTTTTTAAGATTATTTATTTATTTGACAGAGAGGATAGGTAGGCAGAGCAGCGGGCAGAGGGAGAGGGGGAAGCAGGCTTCCCAAGCTGAGCAGGGAGCCTGATGCGGGGCTGGATCCCAGGACCCTGGGACTATGACCTGAGCTGAAGGCAGATGCTTAACTGACTGAGCCACCCAGGCGCCCCAAAAAGTCTTTCTGTTTTTAGATTTTATGGATACAGTTTTGAAAATATGTTGCCCATTCATCTGGCCCACACCCCATCCTGCAGAGCAGGCACTGGCCACGACCTCTGACACCAGGAGTCTTTCAGCTTCTGCTTGCACATTTTTTTTTTTTAATATTTTATTTATTTATTTGACAGAGAGAGCAGCGAGAGAGGGAACACAAGCAGGGGGAGCGGGAGAGGGAGAAGCAGGCTTCCTGCCGAGCAGGGAGCCCGATGCGGGGCTCAATCCCAGGACCCTGGGATCATGACCTGAGCCGAAGGCAGACGCTTAACCACTGAGCCACCCAGGCGCCCCTGCTTGCACATTTTTAATTCTAAAATCCCCTCCCTGGAACTCCTGTGCCCAGAGCTGTGACAAGTCCCTCCGGGGGGATGCCTACCATTGTTTGAATCCAGCTCTCAACCCCATGTCTGCCTGGGTCTCAGGACTCTCGCCCCAGCTCCTGTGCCCTGGTCGCTGCCCTCCTGGGTCGTTTCTGACATGCGCGGAACACAGCATATGTCACCTTCCTGGTTGGAGCTTCGCTTTGCTCCAGCTGCTTGGGCACCAGGTCTTTCCTGCATGAACACTCTTGTTTCTCTCCATTTTATTGGGGGTGCAGGCATGTCCACCTCTGATTCTGCACGAGGAGTGGGGGAGCATGTGACCGTCCAGGCCCACGGAGTAACACTGGGCCCTGCGTTTTTCCTCGAGGCCTCCCCCTCTGGGCCTGTCATGCTCCAGAGGCGCTCGGGATGGTAGGCAAGTGGCTGAAATGCACTTTGCTCCACATCTTGGTGCTTTGGACTAATTAGATCGCGAGGATGCCGAATGGTGCCTCGGTCAGCCTCTCTCTTTGAATTCAGCTATAGGTTTTATTCTCTCTCTCTTTCTTTTTTCCTTTGGCCAGATTTCATGCGCAAGTGCAGACTGGCCTATCTGCCAGAGATAAAATATTACAGATTAATTAAAACTTTATTTCTTAAGTAGAAGATGTAAAATACTAACTCCACCAAATGCTTTTTTAAAAAGATAAACCTAAAGTCTACAAATACATGAAATAGAAATATTCTTAAATTTGTGTTACATATGTTTTAAGCCAAAGAACCCTACGGGTAAGCATTTATTCTATTTACAACATACTTGGAAATCACTGTAGAAGTTAATGCAAGCTTGAAGCTACAGTGCATTTATATGAGGCATAAAATATTTAAAGAAGCTACATTTATGTGTCTTCACATAGACAGAAGTGGAGGGAGGGCCCTGGGCAGTGGAGTCTGGGAGCCATAACTGCTTTTCTCAGATACCTCCGGAGCCCAGGGTCAGCATTCCTGATTCGGGTGGTGAAGACATTTCCTCCCTCTTTCCCTGGTGACATAGAATGTTGCCAGGCACATTTAAGAGGCAGGACAGAGCAGGGTGATCGTTTTTCTTTCATTGCCTTAGAACACAATCCCAGCAAATGGTGCCTCCTCCTGCCCTGGGTAGCTTCCATTTAGACCCAAAATTCACAACTTCTGGTCACATCTGGCATCTCAGAAGTCAAGAAGTGTTCAAATTAGATCTGGAAGTACTGTGTGGGAAGTTCCAGTCCCAGACCCGTGTGCCTTCAGGCTTCTCTTTCCTGAGCCCCCTCTTGAGGCTGGCTGTGCTGGGCACCTTCTGTGTGAGAGACGGTGGGTCAGAGGAGGCCTGACTGTCTGATGGCCGGGGGTCTGACCCCGGGCTGTATTGCTTCCTGGACATGGCCAAGGTCAGCCTGGCAAGTATCTCAAGACAGGCACTGGGAGGGCAGGGCATGACATGTGTCTGGTCATAGTTGGTCAGGTCATTTTTGGGGCAGATCCCAGTCCCTGCTGTCCCTGCAGCCAGATGAGGCCCCTCATCTTTGGGCTCACACATATACCTTCCCTGGGAACTTTTGTGTAGGTCTTGCTACAAAGTGCATAGCCTCAGGGGGATTGACCACTGACATCTGGGCTGCCAGCCTGCCCCTCTTAGGCACAAGCAACCCAGATGGCCCAGGTGGCAGGAGGGTGGGCAGTGAGCCCTGTGTGGTGGGGCCCTGGGGAGCAGCTTTCCCTGGGGGCCATCGCTGGGTAGGGACCCTCACCGTCATGGCCTCAGGGATAGGCCAGTCTGCACTTGGCGTGAAATCTGGCCATTTTCTACCTTGTGGAATTTCTCTCTGAAGGTTGGACAGATGACCCAGGCAGGCCTCCTGGAGCACCTGAAACTTGAGAACGTGTCCCTGTCCCACCAGCTGACGGAAACCCAGCACAGATCCATTAAGGAGAAGGAACGCATTGCTGTCCAGCTCCAGGGCATTGAGGTGAAGGCTGTGCCGTCCCAGGACCACGGCTGTTGGTGTTTGTCTGGGGTTGGGGCTTTGTTTTGTCACTGGTCAAGGTTAAAGTTTACAAACACATGTACATAAACATTAACTATATATATATGTACATATATTCAAGTGTCTTTAAAATAATCTTTTGGACAAGTGGCAGTGATTTAAGGTTGGGGATTCCGACCCTGACATTCACCAGAAGCTCATGTTTCTCTGATCTGAGCTGCTGGTGCCAACTTGTCTTCCATGATGCACGTGGGCCCTGCGCTCGGCCGGTGGTGGGCAGGTGCCCGCATAGCAGGTGGGAGAGGCAGTCAGCATGTTGGATCTCTAAAAGCCTTACAGTAACAAGCATTTTCTTGTCTCTGAGCTCTCAGCTTGTGTCCTGTTTAACCCCCGGCAACTAACCACACGCCCGAGTTAGGACAGGACCAGGGCCTCTGCAGATTATTTCCAGGGTGGTGGGGTGCAGTAGCTTTGACCAGGTCTCCTTAGCTGGGAGACCCTGTATGATTTCTTACCCTCTCTGAGCCTTGTTCCCTTGTTTTATAAAATGAGGATGATAATACGTACTCAACAGATAGGCTTGTCGGGAACTGAAAAGGAACAGTGCACAACATGTGGGCAGCGTGTGGTCTGAGTTGTGTGCCGAGGATGTGGAAAGTTGGCGTTCTGGGACTTTGGCTGTTCCCCTGTCTCCCGCTTCTCTGCACCCCTGTGTCCTCACGGGTGATGAGGGTGACGGAAGAGCATCATGGCACGGCAGACATCTGTTTCAGGGGCTCAGCACCAAAGAACTGAAAAAACTTTAAGTTATAAACTAATGTTTTTCCCTGAGAAACATACCTAGTTATTGGATTTTATCTACATACTCACACCATAAAGAAAATGTGGTATTTGTCTCCCAGCCCTGCTCTGGTTTCCCATCCCCAACGCAAGGACACACTGCAACCTGTCCTCGCGTTAGAGGCAGCCGGGGAGGGGTCGCTCATCACTTTATCCCATTTCTTAAAGCGGGTTGTCTGCTTGCTTCTTCCCTCGGCCAGGCCCAAGGGCCAGCAGAGAGAACCGTGGGCAGAGGAATAGGTGGGGTGACCTGTCTTTTGGGCAGCAGGAGATCACCAGCCTTGGGCCCCTGTGGCCCTTGGCTCCTCTGTGTGCGGGTCGAGGACAGGACAGTGATGTGGATGAGGTTTTCCCACTCAGACTGCTGTGGTCTTCAGGTTTATCCTGCTTTTTAAAAAACACCATTTTCTGTCCTTAGGCCGACATGTTGGACCAGGAAGCTGCCTTTGTGCAGATTCAAGAGGCAAAGACAATGGTGGAGGAGGACCTGCAGCGGAGGCTGGAGGAGTTTGAAGATGAGAAGGAGCAGCTGCAGAAGATGGCGGCCTCGGCTGCATCCCTGGAACAGCAGTTGGAGCAGGCAAGCACCCCCGTGGCCTCGTGTGGCTGCCCTGGTGCCACACACGGCCGTCCTCGCCTGGCTGGCCTCACTGCGCATCTGTGCTGCGGTGTCTGTTGAATTCATTACGGTGTCACATCCACAGTCCAGCTGTGGTTGCAGACCTGGCCGGGTGTTGACCTCTGCTGGTATTCTTCCACACCAGAACTTTCCATGCGGAACGCTGACCCCAAAGCGTCTGTCCAGGTGATCTAAGCCCTGAGCGCACACTCTTAGAGCAGGGCAGTCACAGTGAATCAAGCTCCTGTTTTCCAGGTGAATCTGACTTTGCAACAGCGAGACCAGCAGCTTGCGGTGTTACAGCAGGAGCACCTCGACCTGCTGAGGCAGCTCACCTCAACACAGGAGACATTGCAGGCCCGGGAGCAGTCCCTCGGCGACCTGCAGATGCGCTACGACGAGCTGCATGCCAGGCTGGAGGAGCTGCAGGGGGAGGCCGCCTCCAGGGACGACACCATCCACTTCCTGCAGAATGAGAAGATTGTCTTGGAGGTGGCTCTGCAGGCGGCCAGGAGCGGCAGGGAGGAGCTGGACAGAGGAGCCAAGCGCTTGGAAGAGGGCACCGAGGAGACATCACAGGTTTTAGAGCAGTTGAGGCAAGAGTTAGCCGTGAAGTCCAGCCAGGTAATGCACTTCGCTGCCATTCTGTGATGAGTGGAAACCACACGTGTAAGGCCCGGTGCTGGCTGTTGGCTCCTGTTTGAGCACCTTGTTTTTTTTTTTTTAAGATTTTATTTATTTATTTGAGACAGAGAGAATGAGAGAGACAGAGAGCACACGAGACGGGGGAGGATCAGAGGGAGAAGCAGGCTCCCCGCCGAGCAGGGAGCCCGATGCGGGACTCGATCCCGGGACTCCAGGATCATGACCTGAGCCGAAGGCAGTCGCTCAACCAACTGAGCCACCCAGGCGCCCTGAGCACCTTGTTTTGTAAACGTGCAAGACCACTTCTAGGGCAGGGCCCAGGGCTCGGAAGGTGGGGGTGGGGGGTGGACGGGCACCCACACCAGCAAGCTGTGTGCCTCCTGGTAGCTGCTGGGTGTGTAGATGCTGAGGGCTGGGAAACCGAGTCATGTTTGGTGCGTTGAAAGTAATCTCCCAGGGAGCACCTGGGTGGCTCAGTCAGTTAAGTGTCTGACTCTTGACTTTGGCTTGAGTCATGATCTCAGGGTCATGGGATTGAGCCTCACATCGAGCTCCACACTTACTGTGGAGTCTGCTTGTCTCTCTCCCTCTGCTTGTCCCCCCCCCCACTCCACCCCTGCTCAAGTGCACGTGCACTCTCTCTCTCTCGCTCTTTCTCAAGTAAATAAATAAATAAATCTTTGAAAGAAAGAAAGAAATCCACCAAGAAGCTCCAGTTTCTGTCCACAGATGATGTGGAGCTCAGATGTGGGGAAAGTTGTGTGGAACTTTTGGTTTTTCCCTGGTGCATGCCCATAGTGGGGCTTGTGTACACGTGGCAGGACGGTCGTGTGTCCATGGGTGAGGGCGGGAGACACGGGAGGGTCCAGGTGTGTATGGACATGAGCAGCACGGTACTCTTGGGAGCTGTTATGCCAACAGCGTGATGTGACCTGACGTAGGCAAACGTTAACAAACAGGACGAGGAAGGTGCAGGGTGTGCAGGCAGTGGAGTTCGCCCTCCCTGAGCATCAAGGACAAGGAAATCGGTGGCAGGTTTCCTTCTGGGAAGTAAAGTACAGGGGGCCTGTGTTTCCTCTGCAAACACTGCCGTGGGCCCAGTTGCTTCTCAGACAGGACACGAAAGCAAGTCGAGAAGCAGAGGGTGCATAGTTTAGGGGGATTGCGGGGACCTTCTGGACAAGGCTGAATTTGGTCTTACTGTTCGCTCAGTAAGACGGATGCCAGCTGACGCCTGAGAAATGCAGACGTGGGGTCTGGGGCGCTCTGTCACACTGGAGTCTTGCCTGTGCTGTTGTGAGGTCTCTGGAGGTTACAGTGTGGACTGAGACGATGATCCTACAAACGGAGGGAGGCGGGAATGGGGGCTGGCCTCCCTGTCTCCCTGGGAGCAGAGCGGCCTCAGTGAGGTCTGTGCGCGCGTGTCCTTTGTAGGTGGAGCACCTACAGCAAGAGGCCGCCACCCTGAAAAAGCAGACACAGAAAATAAAGGAGCAGTTTCTTCAACAAAAGGTAAAAATGTGTTGTTGGTTTTCTTTATATGCAGCAAGTGTGTGAAAAAAATCACGTGTGGTTTAATCATTTCTCTAGAACAAAAGTGGTCAAGGGGAAAGCAACGTTTAGACCCCCTCACTTGTTTTGTTTTGTCTTTTTTTAAAGGCACCGATCCTTAGCTGTGCTCTCACTCCTCCTATTTTAAGGTCTCAAGTCAGGATGCAATTTCAGAATAGGGTTGGCATCTGTGATGCAATCTTGGCCTTTTGTCACGTCAGAGAGCGCATGCCGGGCTATGACACAGACTGACTTCTGCTAACATGTCTTTGAAAAATTAGACCCTGATCTAGTGTTGAAGTAAGTCCTGGCTCACGCAAAGGGTGGGGGCTCACATTTTATGTGAGTGAAGCCGGTGTTGGCTGTTGGAATGAATGCGAAGTGTTGCTAGCACCAGGGTTTTGAGAAAGGCCGACCCAAGGGAGAGCTAGAAGTGGTTCTGGATTTTGTTGCTGGGACGCAAGCCGGGGGAGGACCCAGCAGAAGCCTGGCAGCGCGGCTGAGGGGAGAGCACTCGCCAGGTGACATCTGTGTGCGGCACCCAGACGTGTTCAGGTGTGTAAGGTGATGCTGGGCCTCCGTGGATGGTGTCCTGGAGTTGGTGGAATATGTTATTTGTAGTCTAAAACACGTTCTGCCGCGGATTGGTGGTGAGCATTTTTGTTGAAGGAGACCGCACCTCGTGCTGGCTGCAGCCTCTGTCTTGTTGGGCAGGTGATGGTGGAGGCCTACCGGCGGGACGCCACCTCCAAGGACCAGCTCATTGGTGAGCTGAAGGCCACGAAGAAGAGGCTTGACTCAGAGCTGAAGGAGTTGAGGCAAGAGTTAATTAAACTTCAAGGGGAGAAAAAGTCTGTGGAGGTAGAACACGTGCGCTTGCAGAAGGAAGTGTCCCATGTCCATCAGCAGATGGCCGACCTCGAAGGGCATCTCCAGTCGGTGCAGAGGGAGCGCAACAAGATGGAGACGCACTTGCAGGTCTGGGATGCACTTGACTTTGAGGTTCTGCCAAACATGCCCAGGGGTTTCTTGTGCAGGGTGGAGGGCAGGACAGCCTGGAACAAGTCCGTCCCGGAAGGACGGGCAGACGGACAGGTTCCCCCCTGGAGGCAGCACGGGGCTGGAGGCCGTCAGCGTTCATAGTTCACCCCAGCGGGTGCTGGGAGGGGCCTAGGGGGCTCTGGGAGGGGTGGTCCCTCGGGGACTGTGGACAGAGCCACAACCCAAGGCTGACCTGGGCGTTCCCTCCAGCACTCTGGACCGCTCTCAAGTGATCGCCTATAAAAGAGCAAACCTCTGTCAGGGTCCTCTCCAGAGCCCTTGTCCTTGAGGGTGACCCTGAACCGGCACCGTTGAGCCACGGGGAGCCTGGTCCTGAGAAGCAGGCCGCAGAGGGAGGACTTTGCTTTCCTCACTTTGTCTTCTCTTCCCTTCTTCTGAAGTCTTTGCAGTTTGATAAAGAGCAGATGGTAGCTCTTACAGAGGCCAACGAGGTGCTCAAGAAGCAAATTGAGGAACTACAGCAAGAAGCCACCAAGTAAGTGGACCCGAGGCGTGTGCAGGCAGAAGGGGTGAGCGCGGGCGGCCTTGAGCTCTGTGGGGGACACGCAGCAGCCAAGGGCCAGGGGACTCTGAACACACTGTCAGTTGAGCCCTTGCTAAGGAGAGGGGACACAGGATGTACTTCTAGGCAGCCAGGGAAGTCAGATTCCAAAGTTACGGCTGGAGAGGGGGTCCCGGCATGGTTTGGTGGCTGCCTGTGGTTAATAGGCACTCCCCCTGTGAGCGTGCTCCATGCCAGGTGAGTGTGGCAGCGCCTGCCCCTCCCAGTTCCCCCAGCAGGGCTGACTGCGTGTGTATCCTTCTTGCTGTGTGTATGCACGGCAGGTAGCCTTTTGGGGCCTTTAAGCCCCATGGCATGTCTTGTGTCCTGCGTTCCTTTACTTTCGTCAGCTGGAGATTACTTGTGAGCTGCGTTTTTGAGATTATTATTGCTATTCAAGAAGAGCACTGGAAGCGTTTGGAAGGACAGCAGTATTCTCTGATTTTCACGAGATCATTTAAGCGGCTCTGAGAGGGGAGCAGGGCAGAAGTAGGTGCAGTGCTGGGCTCTGTGAGAGCAGCCGACACCAACACCACGTGCTGGATCTGGGCGGAGCGGCAGTTAGCCGGCGTGGGGCTGGGGGTGGGCAAGGACGAGCCTTTCCTTGGTGTTAGTGCCAGGACATCTTGTTGGAAGTGAGTTCAGACTCCTCTGTCCTGCCTGCCACACCCTAGGGCCATCACAGAGCAGAAGCAGAGGATGAAGCGGCTGGGCTCAGACCTCAGCAGCGCTCAGAAGGAGATGAAGACCAAGCACAAGGCCTATGAGAATGCGGTGGGCATCCTCAGCCGCCGCCTGCAGGAGGCCCTTGCAGCCAAGGAGTCGGCAGACGCAGAGCTGAGCCAGCTGAGAGCCCAGGTGGCCGGCGGTAGCCGTGACCTCCCTCTGCACGTGGGTAACCCCCCGTCTGCTCTCGGCCAGGCTGCCAGTGGTGCAGACTCAGTACTGGGGACTCGATGTGTTACAAACGTTCGAGAGACTGGAGACCCGGGGCAGAACTAGCGCGTAGGCAGCCTTTCTGTGAAGTATTGTGTGCTAGCAACGTGACCAGGGGCTTGAACACTGCACAGACGTTCTCTCGATTCACCCCTGCTCGCCTGCGCACCGTCGCCTCCTCCCTCAGCCTCCCTGCCCACTCCTGTCCTTCTCCACACCCCCTCCGTGTCTGGGGAGGGATTTCCTGAGTGCCCGTGTGGGAGGCTCGGGGAAGTATTTGGAAAGTCCAGGAAAGCTTTTTGGAGGAAAGAGTCTTTGAAGTGGTCTTGAATAACAGGAGGTGTTGGAGTCCGGGGGGCACATCTCAGCAGGGGAGTGCTGTGCATCTCGAGGGCACGGTGGGCCCCTGGGGGGGTGGGCTGGCGTGAGATGGAGGGCTGACTGGTGGCTCGGGCAGCGTGAGACCTCACTCTTCTATGGTGGGACACTGACGGGCGGTGGCTGAGCACAGCCGAGGCCAGGCGAGGCTGTGTCGGGGAGACCACGTGGGCTCTCCTGCCGTAGCTGAGATGGCCGGGCCATGTGAAGGCTGCAGAGCGGCCAGTGGGACAGGCCACTGATGGCTTGTGGTCACTCAGGAGGGGAAGCTGTGAGCCGGCGGGGCAGGCCGGGGCCAGCGGAGGGAGCAGCACCCAGTGTCCAGCTTGAGGGTGGCTGCAGCGGGCTCTGCTGACAGGAATCAATCGGGGGAGGCAGTCGGTGTGGGCCAGAGTGGGCCGGGAGTGGCTGTAAATACTCAGACTCGAAGGAAGAGGGACCCTGCATGTGGTGAGGGGCATGGGCTCTGCTCTTCCTGCTGTTACATCATGAGGCAGAAGCCTTTTGCTCTGCATTATTTTTTAGGTTAAATGGGCGGATGTCCTCCTGGAGGAGGATGGAGGATGGGCCCTGGGCTTGCAGGGTGTTTTTATTCGTGTGATGAAGGCTGCCAGAGCCCCCCGAGTGTCCCCGAGTCCTTGGTGCCCCAACCCTGCCGTCTTTGGCCAACATCAAGTTTTACCCAACTGCATTAATTTGCTTTTTGTTTATTCCTACCCAACATTTCATTTGTGTTTAGCAGTTGTGTTTCTTACTAAATGAAGTTTGTCTTGATCTTCTCTCCATGTAAGAATTTATTAGTGGGAAGCCATCATGGCACGTTTTCTTACCAAATTAGGTAAACTTAATACTTCTTTTACCTAATTACTTTATAAAATGGGGGGGGGATTTTATTAAGTTGCAATTTCCCTTCAACCTAGAAATATTTCTCTGCTTCTTTTTTGATTCTTTGGCTTCTCCGGTGTCAGGGATCGAATGTAAATGCCCCCGGGAGCCTGTTACCCCCCCCCTGCCCCCGCCCCACCAGCACTGCAGCCTCAGAGCCAGAGTCCTGGTTTGGTCTGTGCTTCACCACTTGTAAAATGGGGCCTTCGGCAGGCTACTCACCTTCTTGATCCTCAGTAAAGTGAGGCCAAAATGGAGTAAACAGTAGAACCTCCTTGGTCAGAATGGCTCCGTGAAGAAACGCACACGAAGTGATCAGAGTAGTGGCTGCACCACCCAGCAAGCATGAGCGTGAGCACACACGTGGGGTGTTAGTTCTACCGCGCCTGGTACAGCTTGCTTGCCACAGATAGTAATTCATCGTTCTTAGTTGTGAGCCAGAGTTTTTCTGTATTTTCAAAGCATTTAACTCGGGGGAGGGAAGTACGGTAGGACCGCAGCGCCTGTCGAGCATGGTCAGCAAGCTCATGCGGTGGGTGCAATGCAGCCCTGCAGGGAGGGAGGTGAGTGCCTGTCACATGCCGTATTGAAACCCATGACCAAATCCGCCTTCCCGTCCTGGCTGTTAGGAGAGAATCCAGGCTCTGGAGGCAGAACTGCAGGCTGTTGGCCACAGCAAGACGATGCTGGAGAAGGAGCTCCAGGAGATTATCACACTGACCAGCCAGGAGCTGGAGGAGTACCGGGAGAAGGTGCTGGAGCTGGAGGACGAGGTAGGCCGAGCTTCGTCCTCACACAGCGGGACGAGCCTCACTGCCCCCGTGCAGCTCAGGGGCAGAGAGAAGGGCTCCTGGAGAGGCAGAACTTGGCCTGTAGCTCAGCCTGCACTGTGCTTCTATGCGCCGTCTGACCACTTGTCTGGGTCCCTCTCACCGCCCCCCCCCCTTATTGAGGCTCCCCACACGCTCTCTTGAGCACCCCTCTGGTGTGGTGGTTGTCAGAGTGTTAGGATTAAGATGTCCCCAGTAAGAACACTCTGGTTGCAAATAATGAGAAAACCTGTTCTTTAAAATAACTTCACGTAACTCTCGGGCCCAGAGAGGCTGTGGCTTCAGATGATGCTACGCGTGGCAGTTGGTGATGTCACCAAGGGCTCTCCACGGGGACCCAGGCTCCCCAGGAGAAAGCCGGGGGGCTGGGAGCTGGGGTGTGCTGCATCTGCTGCAGTCCTGGGGTGGTCTGTTGGAGCTTCTTGGTGCAGTTGTTCTATTTCCGGTGTGGGGGAGCTTAGCTCCATTAGCCAGAACAGGTAATTATGTAACTTCACAGTGGTTTTGATCTGTTTCAGCTTCAAGAATCTAGAGGCTTTAGGAGGAAGATAAAGCGCCTTGAGGAGTTGAATAAAAAGTTGGCCCTTGAGTTAGAGCATGAGCGAGGGAAGCTTACAGGCCTGGGGCAGTCCAACGCAGCTCTGCGGGAACACAACAGCATCTTAGAAACAGCTTTGGCCAAGAGGGAGGCAGACCTGGTTCAGCTGAACCTCCAGGTACTCAGACCCTTTGCCGGAGGCAGGGGACTCGCTTCGGGATAGGTGGCTCTCGGTCTGGCGCATGTCGCCTCACGCAGCAGTCCCAGCCGCCCGCAAGCAGAGTGCTGCCCCGTCACAGAGACTCAGAACAGGGAGGATCTGGTGACATATGAAGCCCACCTTGCAGCTCTGTGGGGTGGGGCAGAGCTGGGAGCTCCTAATGCTCCCCCTTACCGAGGTGTGGAGGCACTGTGCCCCGCCCATTAGCTTCCTGGTGGGTAGGGGACTCCCTGCTCAAGCTGGTCCCACTGTTCATAAGAGGCTCTTCCCTGTGTGATGCAGAGCTGGGATTTGAACCTTGGTGGGGCTCTCTCTCCGGACCCTGTTCTGGGCTCCGGCTCTGCAGCCTCTCTGGGGCTTGGGGAGGAGGCCTGGCACTTCAGAGCCCTCTTCGAGGGGCAGTCAGCGGCCAAATCCAGCCCCCGTCTCAAATTATCCAGCTGTTAGAGAGCTTATAAACTTTTATTTGTCACTGGTTCCCACCCTTGCCATATCTGGTGGCCTCGTCCATCTGCGTTACCTGCCTCACCAGGGAAGTATTTGTGTTTCAAAGCCCCGATTACAGGTAGCCTTTGGGTGCTTGCTCTGTGCTTGAATACGGCCATATGACTTGACTGCCATCTCAGACTTCACGTTCTCCAGAGGTGGAATTCTCCCTCCTCCGCTACCTTGTGCGCCTGTCGGTAATGCATCGTGTTGTGTGCCACCATCCTGCCAGGTTCCCACGTGGCACTGGGGCCCCACAGGCCTTCGAAATCTGAGTGCCTCCTCACTCACTGCTCCGGTGATGTGCTATAGGTCCAGGCAGTCTTGCAGCGGAAAGAGGAGGAGGACCGCCAGACGAAGCAGCTCGTCCACGCCTTACAGGCTGCGCTGGAGCGAGAAAAGGCCACCGTGCACAGCCTCAAGGAACAGGTGTGTGACCAGCTTCCCACTGGCTCTAAACTGCAACTTCAGAGCCTGTCGGAAGGCAGTTTTTCTAAAAACTGAGTATGTGCACGCTTGACGCCTCACTTCCCTTCCAGGAATTTATTGTACAGATATCTTTGCTGATGTGTTCTGAGAACGATGTCATCACAGACTTGGTGACAGTGAGCAGCTGGAGGGGGCCCTGATGTCCATCCATAGGAGAGTGGACCTGGATTAACCCAGAGGCAGTCACATGGGCCTAAGATGCACGCACAGAGCCGTGTAGAGACGTATTTGCTGGAGAACAGTGTCGCACACGTAGTGTTGAGTTAAAAAAGCAAACTGCAGAACAATAGCTGACCCCATTAGTGCTAAAAGAGCAATGGAGAAAGAAGGCTGCATGCACTCTTTGCCGTTTCCTGCCTGGCTCCTTTCCATGCTCAGGTGTTCACCAGTGCATCAGGTCAGTCTTCCAGCAGAGAGGCCTGTCCCACTGCCCCTGTGAGCTGGAACAGACCTCAGCTCCTGTTTCCCACCATGGTGCCGTGTCTGTTACTCCTCATCAGAACATAAGCTTCATGGCTTGAGGGCCGTGACTCATTTACCCTCATGTCCCCAGTGCCTGGCACCGAAGAGATGTTCTGAATGTGTTTGCTGTGTGCAAGGGTGCATGTCACATCCTTTAAAAATGTTTCCGTGATGATATAACAGGTAGAAAGAAAGAAATTGTTCTTCATTTTTTTGGGTGAGACAGTAAAATATTCTTTTAAGATAGTACAGTTTTAAGATCTGTTAAGAACATATTACTATGGGGACACCTGGGTGGCTCAGTCGATTGAGCATCTGCCTTTGCCTCAGGTTCTGGGATCGAGTCCCATGTTGGGCTCTGTGCTCAGTGGGGAGCCTGCTTGGGATTCTCTCTCCCTCTGCCCCTCCCCCCCACATGCATGCATGCGCACTCTCTCTCAAAAGAAGAACTTGTCACCATGAACAGACCCCCGTTTGCCTTGTCTGGTTGGTTTTTATACCTTGCGTGGAGTTGAGCTGAGTCAACTACCCTCCCTACTTTTCTACCCCCCAATTCCTATCTTTTGCTCACTTACTAATTTTATTCTCCCTTTAATGAAGTTGAATTTTATTCTCCCTTTTATTCTCCCTTTATTCTCTAGTTAGCAGGACTGACAGAGCTAGACTCTGCTGATTGACACTTTCAGTTCCTTCATTCCCTGTCTGCTTGGAAAGGGATTTTTTTTTTCTTTTTTTTAAAGATTTTATTTATTTATTTGACGGAGAGAGAGCAGGAGAGAGGGAACACAAGCAGGGGAAGGGGGAGAGGGAGAAGCAGGCTTCCCGCTGAGCAGTGAGCCCGATGCGGGGCTCGATCCCAGGACCCTGGGATCATGACCTGAGCCGAAGGCAGACGCTTAACAACTGAGCCACCCAGGCGCCCAGGATATTTATTTTTTCTAAGTATGATATTAAACAGTACACAGAGATATAGTTAGAGCAATTTCATAGTGTAAGGAAATTTGTGAATAGAAGTGCTGGGGAAAATGATGGATATGTGACCTTGGCTTCTTTTTTTTTTTTTCTTTTTAAGGGCAGTAACTGTGAACTGTCCTCATTTATGTCTCTAAATGCATTTCATGAAATTATCTGGACTGTTTGAACAGTACATGCTAGTAGTAAAAAGTAAAAAAAAAAAAGTCGTAAAGATTGAAGTACAGATCATCTTGAATTTGTACCTGGTGATAAACCACTGTTAACATCTTCTGTTGGAGTTTTGTTTCCTTATTTATAAGAGTTTTTTCTATATTTGTCATATATTATAAATATTTTTATTAAACTTTTATTTTTTTTTAAGGATTGTATTTATTTATTTGACAGACGCAAGCAGGGGGAGCAGCAGGCAGAGGCAGAGGGAGAAGCAGACTCCTTGCCAAGTAGGGAGCCTGATGTGGGACTCGATCCCAGGACTCTGGGATCATGACCTGAGCTGAAGGCAGACGCTTAACTGACTGAGCCACCCAGGCGCCCTTTATTAAACTTGTAAAAAATGAAGTCCCTGCTTGTGCAGTTAGATAAGAAAACCGAGTTACTGGAAAGGAAACTGGAAGATTTTGTTATATTCTGAGAATTTGCTGGTCTCAGAAACCTTGAGAGAAATTATTGTTCATCATGAAAAGACTACTGTGTCATAAATGGATAGTAATCAGTAGCTTTACTGCAGTTACTTGGTGTGATGGAAGGATATGTTCCTCCCCAAAAACATAAACTAGGACTGGATTTAACAAGAAATAGACAGATATACTTGAGGAGGACAATCGAAACTATTTAGACCAAGGAAACCTTGCATGCATTTGTTCGTTCAGCAGATCCTGGCGGCCGGCTGTATGTCGCCTGCCTGCGCGCCAGGCATGTGTTAGGGCTTCAGTCCTTTGGGAGCTTAAGAAGCTTTGGAAGAAACAACTGCAGGAGCAGCTGGGACGCGGGTGGGGTTGGTGGTAGCTCTCTTCGCAGACATCACATCGGGCGTGTTCTGTGTGGTTTTTGCCTCTGTCCTTGGTGACGCGGGTTTTTGTTGTTGTAGGTCGCTGCCGCCAAGGCGGAAGCAGGACATAACCGCCGCCACTTCAAGGCTGCCACCTTGGAGCTGAGTGAGGTGAAGAAGGAACTGCAGGCCAAGGAGCAGCTGGTGCAGAAGCTGCAGGCTGAGGCCGAGGGTCTCCAGTGAGTGCCAGGCGGGCAGAGGGCTGGGTCAGTGCCACGGCCGGGGACGGACGGGCAGGAGCGCCACCACGTCTTCTGGTTAGGACCTTCAGCACGTTCAGGTCACCTGGGTTTTAGCAAATCTCTGAGCACTCTGGAGGCAAATCTAAGAAGGAGAATGTATCCGATCCCTGTCTTAGGAAGCCTGCAGCTCAACTCCGAAATTTCCGGCCTGACATGGCTGTCCCCACTCCACACCTGAGGGTCCTTCACCAGGAACAGAGAGCCCTGTGTGAGGGGCACATGTCCCGAGGGCTGTGCCCCACCACCGAGGTTCACTGCAGCCTCCAATTAGGGCAGCCTTGAGTTGAGCACATGTAGGGGTGCGTGTTGGGAGTTTTCTCCCATTGTAATCCATAAAATGGGCTAGCAAAATGTCCTTCCCGGGGCTTTTGTGAGGATTCGTCACGACAGAGCACTACAGAGCTCCTAGAACAGTCGCCGCCCAGAGTGAGCAGTGTGTGAGTTTCTGTCACCCCTGATGGATAATGTTCAACCGAGCACACTTTGTGGTAGGGTTAGGGTGCTGTGATTTCATGCTTCCTTGTTTTTATGCTAGGATTCAAGAGGGGAAACATTCCCAGGAAATAGCACAGTTCCAGGAGAAGCTGGAGGAGGCCCGGACCCAGCTCCAACTCCTGCAGAAGCAGCTAGACGAGCAGCTGAGCAAACAGCCTATAGGGAACCAAGAGGTGACCTGCCTGGGAGGCTTTGCATTTCCACTTAGCGGGACTGACAGAGCTAGACTCTGCTGATTGACACATCAGTTCCTTCATTCATTCCCTGTCTGCCTGGAAAGGGATATTTATTTTTTCTAAGTATGATATTAAACAGTACATAGATATATAGTTAGAGCAATTTTATAGTGTAAGAAAGCCACTTTAAAATTCTTTTGGTCATGTGACTTTCTCTCTCCTCTAGATGGAAAATCTCAAATGGGAGGTGGAGCAGAAAGAAAGAGAAGTCCAGTCCTTGAGGCAGCAGCTGAACTTGACCGAGCAGCAGAGTAAGAAGGAACTGGATGGAATACAGCAGTTATCACAGGTATGTGCTGTGTAAAGGCCCTGGGGCAGAAAGTCAGAGACCGCACCTCACAAGGTGCTAAGTGCATGACGTGAGTTACCCCAAACCGAATGCTTCCACCAAACCATTTTGCAGGCATTATCCGTTTCAGAAAGAAGGCCAGGTCACACAGCTGAAGGAGGCCAAGCCCTAGCGCTACGTATGCCCTGGGCTGAGCTCTGTGAAATGTATCAGGAATGGGATCTGACACAGCCTAGTCAATGAGGCAGTACATGTGAAAAGTTCACCAGTCTGTGATGCACTTTTCCACAAAGAAACCTGTGTGCGGGTTGACCACTTGCGCAAAGGATCAGAGAGAGAGAGCTCTCGCCAGGATTCCTACTTGTGGATGGCTGGCTTGAGTAACAGGATTGATTTATATTCATTCCTCCTAATGGTGAGGCTTATTCCAGTAGCTGACCTTGGAATGAATTTATGTATGTATGTATGTATAGATTTTATTTATTTATTTGACAGAGAGACAGCGAGAGAGGGAACACAAGCAGGGGGAGTGGGAGAGGGAGAAGCAGGCTTCCCACGGAGCAGGGAGCCCAGTGGGGAGCTTGATCCCAGGACCCTGAGATCATGACCTGAGCCGAAGGCAGATGCTTAACGACTGAGCCACCCAGGCGCCCCTGTAAAAATATATTTTGAAACTAAGTCATCCTACCACCCAAAGATGAGCACAATTAATGTTTTCATGGCCCCTTGTTCTATCCATGTAGTTTTTTTTATTATTGAGATTGTACAGTGTAATTTTTTGTGCTTTTATTTTAATTAATTATTTATTTATTTAAAAGATTTTATTATTTGACAGAGAGAGACACAGCGAGAGAGGGGACACAAGCAGGGGGAGGGGGAGAGGGAGAAGCAGACTCCCCGCAGAGCAGGGAGCCCAACCTGAGGCTCAATCCCAGGACCCCGGGATCATGACCTGAGCCGAAGGCAGACGCTTAACTGACTGAGCCACTCAGGGGCCCCTGACCTTGGAATTTAAATGGATTCTTGGGATCCATTATAGACAGTGGACACGGGAATATTGCTGGTTCCTCGTCAGAGGCTCTGAAATTTGAGTAAGGACGTTGAGGATGTGACTGTAATGGGATGCTGCCCAGCCCAGACCGTGGTGAGGAAATAGGCTGGCATGGCAGCACCACCTACAGCATCATAGAAAAGTTGCTGTTAGTTTCTAGCCCCTTACACTTGTGACATACAAGCTAAGATCTTAGCAGCACAGGCAAGATCCTTTAGTTTATAAAAACGTGTGACTTCCCTTTCTTTAGAACATCAAAGCTGAGTTGGAGATGGTGCAGGACGATCTGTCCCTGACCCAGAAAGATAAATTCATGCTTCAAGCTAAAGTGTCAGAGCTGAAGAACAACATGAAGACTCTGCTCCAGCAAAACCAGCAGCTCAGACTGGACCTGCGGCGTGGCGCAGCGAAGACGGTACTCAGACCCCGCGCCTCCATCAGGTTCCCGGGCCCAAGGCACCCCTGCTGGGCGGGTGGCTGGGGTACTTTCTGGTTACTCAGACAGGAAGTTCTGTGTAACCAACACTGAGCAGCTACTGTGTGCAGTAAAGGATGCTGGAGTCTTGTGCTTGGCAGCAGGCCAAACCCTTTTATCTTGGTGCCTTTTCCAAGAGCTCTTTGCTTCTTTTTATGAATCACGTATCCTTTTGTTGTAATACGCTTTATAAGCCACATGAGGGCTCATTTGCTGGTCTTCACAAGAGCCCCTGGCCTGGTAGGTGAGCCAGCTGGGGCCAGCACTGCCAGATGGGCTTGGGGGCCTGGGGAGACCCGCCCAGACCCTCTGTACCCAGCATTTGTTTCTCTGCTCAGGCCACGTAAATATTCTCCAGGTGCAAAGAAATCCCTCAGACTCAGAGGTTTATTTAGCACTGTTTGGCTATCTGTGGAAAAAGTTTGAAGTTCTAGAAAGGGGAGTTGTAGGAGTTAAAAATTGATGTATTTCTTAGGGAGATGCAGGGTCAAGGCTGTGGTCTTTTGTGGAAAGCCCCCACAGTTCCCATAAGGGTGTTCTCGCTTGTGATTTAGGTCGTCCTCCTGAGTAGCCAGCATTACACTGTTTGTGCATGGTCACGTGCATTAGGAAGACGCTCACCCATTCAGCCAACATTCCCTGAACCCTGTGGCTGTCAGCTCTGCCAGCCTGGAAGCAGGGGGGCATGCCTTCCCCGAGGGCCCATCGTGAGCTAGGATGCCCTCTGGGAGCACTTGTTGTGATGATCGGGGACCGATAAGGGGAAGGTGTGGTTGGTGTCAGCCTCCAAGTGAGAGGGCTCCAACCATGTGCTTTTTAAAAACAGAGAAAGGAACTGAAAGGCGAGGCCAGCTCTTCTGGCCCCGTGACTCCAGTGAAGATCCCTGACTGCCCTGTCCCGGCCTCCCTGCTGGAGGAGCTGCTGAGGCCCCCACCTGCCGTGAGCAAGGAGCCCCTCAAGAACCTCAACAGTTGTCTCCAGCAGCTAAAGTATGAACTGTGTTCTGTGTTCTATCTCACTTGGTCTTTAAAAATAGATTGCATGTTTAACTTGGAAGAATCCTGTTGCCAGCCCTGCGTGCCCCGAAGAGGCTGGGCAGGTCTGTGCTATGTGGGGTCACTCAGGCCCTCAGTCCCTGTCATACGGGAGGACTGCCTGGAGCTAGGTGACCCTTAGGAACCCCACACATAGCTCAGGGTTTTACTCCCAAGAGCCTGAGGCCAGTGTTTGCAGGGCGTGGCCCTGTGGGGACATCTTTTTGACCCTGTGAATGGAGGCCATGTGTAGGCCCTCAGTGCTGTCTCACCCACCTTCTCCCTGAGCACAGGCCCGTGTGTGCAGACCTCTGCACCTGCAGAGGAAACTGCTGAGCCCCATAAATCGTGTGACCCCCCTGGGTGCTGCTTCCCAAATAGACAGGTTCTGTCAGCCACCCGAAGGTGCCGCAGATGAGCAGGCTGCTGTCTGAGTCAGGCTTGTTAGGATCCGTGTTGGAGATGACCAGTTGCCTCTTGGGGAAGTAACAGCGTCGTTTCTGGCTCTCATTTGACTGGCCTGCATTCCTTGCTTCCCCTGTCTGCCCAGGCAGGAGATGGACAGCCTGCAGCGCCAGATGGAGGCACATGCCGTCACCGTGCACGAGTCACTGTCCTCATGGACTCAGGGGGATCCCGCTGCCAGTGCTGCTCCCCTGGGAGATCACGCCAACCCCAGGGGAGATACAGAGCGACACAGTCAGTGCAGGGTCTCCAGAGAGGCGCTTGGAACAGCGGCCGCCGAGCACCCCCACTCCGAGTGCTTGTAACTACCCAAAGGAATAATCTTTTATCAATATTATTTATTTGACTGTTTGCTCTGTGTTTTTCTAAGAGATGAAGTTTAAATTTTGCATCTGCCTTTTCAAGGAGTAAAAGAACTGAACAAGAGCCAAGGATTAGAGAAATCGTAATTTGCAGATCACAACTAGCTTTTCCCCTGAAATGACCAAATGCTAGCAACCTAGTTTAGATCTCAGTGAGTTTTTGAATGTGTCTGAAGGGTTACTTGCGGGAGGAGGTCTCTGTTGAGTGACTGTAGCTGCAGCCCCCTGAGGGTGATGCCAGTCAGTGGCCACCGGTGGAAACGCTGCATGACTGGGTCCCGCTTCTCTCTTTCCAGATTCCGTGAGAGCTTTAGCTCCCTGCAGAAACGAAACTTTATTTGCACCTTTGGTTTTTATTTTCAATAGCTATCTCACCATAGGATGTGTATATAAATACTGAAAATCATAAGCTAATCTTTAAAAAGTGTATTCCATATTATTTAAGAATGACCTGAATTGTCTTTTTATTGATCGCCTTTTGAAAATCTGCTGTCAGAAGTAACGTACATGTAGGATTTAGGGATGTCAGTCAGAAAATTATATTTTAAGAAATATAATTATTTTATTTACTGTACCTTCTAAAACCAAATATTCTTGGAGCGAAAAGGTTTTTTGTTTCAGTTTCACTTTATTTTTGAGAGCCTTGTCCTAAGTGCACACCCCACCCCATCTGACCCTTGACCCTGCACGGCCTCACTCACTTTGGCTGTCCCCTAGGCGGGCCTGGCGGCCATAAGGACACAATCACCATGTGCTGGCCTGACATGGGAGATGGTTGGGGAGGGGTCACAGGAGAGGAGGGGAGAGAGGGACCAGGGCTCCCTGCAGGGCTCTGAGCCAGGTGCAAGGCTTCTCCAGGCCTCCTCCCCCCGCCCCCCCCACCCCACCCCGGGCCCACATGAAAATACGTCCATCAGAGCCTGTGTGGTCATCAGTGGTCATCAGGGGACATGCTGAACTCATTGCGGTGACAGCCTTCAGAAGGTCCCGTAACCTCTCATCTGGAGGGTTTTCTAGAACGGGCAGGTCAGCTGTGTGAGAAGGCAGTGGAGGCCACCCGAGCTCTCCTGTAGGTGAGAGCCTGATTTGGAAGCAGGCTCCGTGAGCGTGGGAGATTTACTTGACTGTCTATGACCCTGGAGGGCTGTAACTTTGTCCCCTACTGGCCAAGAAATCTAAGCTGATAGTGAACTGTTGTCAGAGAAGAGAGGCCCCCGGTGCAGATCTGCTGGTCTGGAGATGAAGTTGGAAGTGTTACTGATCAGGCCAGATATGCTCGTGTCAACTTACTACTTACGTCTCTTTTGTGGAGAAAACGGTTTGATATTTTTAAGCTGTTTGTGTTCTCTTACGCTATTAGAAGGTAAATTGATAAGGTAGCATTAACCACAAAGACGCTTAGTGTTTAAAAAAAATTCCCTAGCAAGTATTGAAACTTCTGAAATATGTAGATCACTTGTACAGGGTTAATCTTGAAATAATACTTGAAGACTTCATTATAAATATATCCTATTTTCATCTTAAGTTGGAAATCGTTTTTGACAAAATTGTTTTTGTACCATTAGAAAAGAAAAATCGTAACTTACATTCTTATTTATTTTGGGTGTTTTATCCTCAGTTTTAATTTTAAAACCAAGACATGACACTCAGCCTCATGCTGTGGCTACTTTCTCACTGCTGCTTATTGGAGGTCTCCCAGTGAAAGCCGGTCACTGTGCATTTTTTATTAGGAAAGGGTAAACGGATTCTGAATAATCCTCAAGTGAAAGCAGATTTCTGTTCCTCACCCTGTTTCCCTCATGTCTTACTTGTGTCTGTGCACCTGCGGGCTTGTGCGGGCCTGCAGTAGCCGCGCCCCCTGCTCTCCTGCTGTCCTGTGCCACCGTCGTGGTCACCCCATCTTTCAGTTCCGTCAACACCAGCCTGCCTCTGGTCTGACCTCCCTGGCTGTCCCCACGCACTGTGATGTTTCTTGTGTGGCCTGCAGCTCCTGACCTGGGGCCCTTTTGTTCAAGCTGACACCACCTTTAGGCTTCTTAACAAGTCACTTGGAAGAGGAAGTTGGACTTTGAAATCACCTGCTTCTGATTTATTGAGGGTTATTATTATTTTTTTAATCTCTAAGGGACTTGATTGGCACTTCTACCTCCCAGGCTACATTCTGCAGTGAGTATCATTTGAAATATTCTGTTTGTGGGCAGAAGTGGGAATTTGGAATTTACTCATGGAAAACAACAGTCCAGTCGATTATTTATAGGAACAGGCTTGCTGTTACAGTATGTTTGTGTATATTATTCACCCTGTGTGATGAATACCGTATTTCTTGTTTCTCTTATGTTCCAAAAAAAAAAGCTTATTGCAGTGTGGTTATCACTGATTTTTCCATGGAACACATTGGATAGATGCCACAGATCTTACGGATTTACATGGTTTTGTTCTACTGTTTGGAAGGTCTAACAGGCAAGGGTTTGATAGGCTTTTTCTCTGGCCTGGGTCCAGGTCATGGGACAGACCTGCTAGGAAGATTCTCATTACACTCTTTCTTAGTTTGAAGACTTTTGTTGGTGTAGGGTTACTTACTGCAGAAGCCACGGCATATAGTCCTACTCCTATGAGTAACTTTTTAAATAGAAATGAAATGTCCTGTGTAAAGATTTCTAGTAGTGAAAGGGACCAGTATATCTGAAAGACAAATGTCCTGGAGCCTTCCTCAAGGACCCCTGTGACGTGTGAGACGTCCTGAGCCTTACGCAAACACGTTCCAGGCAAATCTGATTGTGTGGTGGTCTCAGGTTATAATAGGACCCTTGAAGGTAATGTTGTAGAGGGTCTAGAAAACTGGATGGCTTTAAGTTACTCATTTCTGTTAAAAATTTCCTCATGAAAGGGAGTCCTCCTCAGGTTGGGGCTGTTAGGGAAAAGGTGTCACCATGCCCAACGAATTGTAACTTTAAAAAGCATGTTGATTTTTTATAAATTTAAGTGTGCTGGGGAATTCCTTAAATTTTGTGCAATAAACTATTTTTTGTTAAAGTTTTTCATATTTCATTGGGGGCCTTATTTTAATATATATAGTTTGCCGTATTTGGGAGTAAATTTAATCTTGGGTTGTTATAAACGGTTTAAATATTTGTCTTAAAAGAGCATTTTACTGTTCTGCTAAAAGATTCAGATGGGTGTGAAATCTAACTTGTGCTGCTTTTGACCATAGCAGAAGAATGGCAATGTGTTAGCCATGCCCTTCCCCGTAGCCCACGCTGCACCTGCTGCCACACGCAGGTGGGTACGAAGGAGAGGCGTTCTGCTGAGCGGACCGAGAGACAGGAGGGCAGGTGCCCTTTGGGCTGCGGGCATGTCCCCGAGCATGTCCCTGTCCGGGGTGCTGCGTCCACCACTGGGCCCCACAGACTGTCACGGCTGACGACAGCTGGACCATTAATACTTCTCTGAGTCTCCCGTGTCGTGGCCCAGTTTCCCCTCTTCCATCCATACTCTATTTTCAGAAGAGTTAGCCAGACGTGGAAAGTCTTCCGTTAAGTGTTCTCATTAATGACCAGCATGATAAAACTGTATAGAAAAGAAGTCAGCTGGTGATCACAGAATGTGGTTTTGTGGCGGGATTTATGCGTTACTTTCCTAGGATTCTGCTCTTATCAGCTTCCCTAAACAGGGGTCCGTTAACACACGCTGCACAGCCCAAGTGAAGATTGCTGACTGCTTCTTGTGTGGCCCTGACTCCCTGAAAGGGGGAGGATGCAATCTTTGTTTTCTCTGCAGTAATCAGGAAAGGAAGGATCCTGTGTCCCTGAACTTTTTTCTTTTGCCTGTAAGGTTGCTAAACATTTGCAAGCACCAAACGAAGCATGCTGCACCCTCGGTGGTTGTACGGTGGGTGTTCAGGAGGGGCTGGGCACAGATCGGTGGAAGGTGCAGCGGGAATGTGTGCTGAGGAAAGGACCCAAGACTTACCACTGAGGGGGAGCCTGGTACTTAGAGATCACCAGGTCACTCAGAAATCTCCTACCTCGTGCAGATTATGTGGGAAATGCAAATAGGATTGTTTATGCTGCTACCGTCCGGTTTGATGGATAAACATAGGAGCTGTTGGAAGAACCTCCAAGCCTTTCCTAGATGAGAAGGAATTCTCAGCAATCAGCAACTTCTAAAACCAGAAGCAGCATTTACTGGAATTCTGCTTGCCTTCATGCATGTTCTCACTCAGGACAACGAATGTTGCAGATTCTGGTAAAAAGTATACTTTGGTGATGTCTTTTCCTGGAAACAATGGGAGATACTAAACTGTGTTGGTCTTCCCCTTTTTTTTTCCCACAAGTGTGGGGGTGGGCCCTTCTCGCATCCCAGCTCAACTCCTGGAGCTTGAGACGGCCAAGGGCTCGGGAAACAGCGCCGTGACATCCCTTTGCAACAGCGTGCTTCCCGGCTAGGCTGGAAGTGTGTGGATCACGGCCCCATCTCGGCAGGAGGGCAGTGGCTCCGGGAAGCACCTGGAGGTTCTCATCCACACGGCCTGCAAACCGCAGGAGGAAATGGTCTGCGTGCTTTTCACATATAGTCTGGGTCCAAACTCCACAGAGGGGGGGACGGTAGCCAGCTTAAAGGTATCTCACAGGACACCTCATTTTGTTGTGAGCTTTATTTTTTTTTAAAGATTTATTATTTTTAGGGGCGCCTGGGTGGCTCAGTTGGTTAAGCGACTGTCTTCAGCTCAGGTCATGATCCCTGGAATCCCAGGATCAAGTCCCACATCGGGCTCCCTGCTCCACGGGGAGTCTGCTCCCTCTGACCTTGCCCCCCTCATGCTCTCTCTCTCTCATTCTCTCAAATTGACAGAGAGCAAGAGCACAAGCAGGGGGAGGGGTAAAGGGAGGGGAGAAGCAGACTCCCTGCTGAGCAGGGAGCCTGATGTGGCGCTCGATCCCAGGACCCGGAGATCGTGACCTGAGCTGAAGGCAGACGCTTAACCGACTGAGCCACCCAGGTGTCCCAGAGATTTACTCATTTTAGAGAGAAAGCGGAGGGGACTGGGAGAGAGAATCCCAGGCAGACTGCCCACTGAGTGCGGAGCCTGATGACGACTCGGGGCTCCATCTCATGTCTCTGAGATCATGACCTGAGCCGAAATCAAGAGTCGGACGCTCAACTGACTGAGCCACCCAGGCGCCCATTTGTGAGCTTTAAATGTGCATTTGTAAAGACTTGATGGATATTTCAAAGTGATTTTCCTGGTACTTAAAACGTTGGTGTGTTGAAAGCTGACTGTCTCCTCTTCATCCAGAAAACAGCACTTTCCCTTGACTGGCCTCTCTGTGTTAGTGATAGGCCAGCCCTGCCCACAGCTCCTTCGCCTGTTTGGGGGCCCTCCTGTCTCCAAGGCAGCTGAGAGCCCGGCTCGGCTCTGGAGCCACCCCTGTACCAGCCTCCTCCGCTCTTGTCTGCAGTGTACGTTTGCTTGAGTTCAGAGCACAGTGTGGCTATCACACCGTCTGCAGTCTGGCGCAAATCAACCCCTCCAGCTTCTTAGTCCATTCAGCATTAAGAGTTCTGTGGTAAGCACTGGGCTCGCCACCAGTTACTCCTCCTCCACTGGCTTCTGGCGGAGCCGGCAGGCGCATGCTCTGGGGCAGGAAGCTCAGCGCATTAGAGCCAGTGAAGTGTGTCCCTTGTGGGCCAGAGCCCTGACCGCGGGTCGCATAACCCCCACCATGGCGACAGCATGATGGTGGCCACGTGGCAGCAAATAGGAGCAAGAAATAAACCTGGTTCTCTCAAGCCTCTGGAGACCTGGGGGAATTACTACGACATGATCAGTTGGGGCTCAGGAGCGCCCCATGCCTTGCTGGGACATCTGGCCTGCTTCCTGTGCCTAGTGCCACCCCTGCCTCGCCTTCACGCACAAGACGTGTCTGAGTGCTTGTGGCTGTCACGCACGATGCCAGAGATACGGCTCTCCAGCAGGAAGAAGCCTGGTTTGTGGCCTCTGATGAGTCCTAGGTGTGAATACCCTTCCTGGGCAGAGCTGAAGCTCCCGACATGTCGTCTTTGGAGCTGGGAAGGGGTGTGGGCTTCCCCAGGAGACTCCAGCACATCGCTGACTGTCCCTGAGGGATGTGACCATGAGCAGAAAGCAGACCTAGCTCGACTCCTTCATAAAACCTTCCCTAATCCCCAACCCACTGTGCTCCTTCCCCGTGTACATTTACATATAGGGAACTAAGCTTATGCCATAGAGTTATTTCTGGAGAGTCCCTTCTTTTCCTACTAGATGAGGGGGCATCAGGGGCTGGAGGACAGTACTGTGTATCCCACTCAGCAAGTGAGTTTCGTTGAACAGATGAGCCTTAAAGTCAGTGACTTTGAAGAGATATGTAAAGAAGTACCAGTTGGGGGATTTTCTTCCTTGCTCACTTGGTGTAGAAATGGTGGCAGAACACTTCAAATAGAGCAGATTTATGAATTAGGGATAAATACCTTTATTGAAGACCTCTTAAAATTCAGAAAGATCGTGACAGCCTTGTGTGGAATAACCCTTTGCTAACCTGCACATGCAATTTCCAGGCTCCCCTGCCAGCCAGGCTTCCTTCTGGGCTCCGCTGTGCCCTCTGCGAACGGTCCCAGCTGCTTCCTGCTCTGACTGTCCCTTGTCACTCCCAGACTACCTGGCATGGGCTGCTTCCCTGGCTAGACACCCACCACAAGTAACATCACGTGTGGCTGGACTGCCCATGCTTTCCCTTCTCTTGTTGAAGGGTACTCATGACACGTGAAAACGAGACTTTCTCAGTCGTTGACGGATACCGTCCCTGGCCCTCTCGTGATCTGAGATCAGAAATGGAGTTCGGGATTAGGATAGGAGTTAGACAAACTACAATTAGGAATTAGATCAAACCTGCTCCTGTCAGAGAAAACCATCAGTTCTAAGCTTAATTTCTGTTCATTCGTTGGAAATCCACTTCTACCTCAGTGGTACATTGTGGTCAGTAAGAGGGTTGGCTTCTTAACGTTGGAACTGTTTTTCCTCATGATTATCCCACTCTTACTTCAAATGTAGTCTGCATTAGACAGTGGTGAGGAGGATCCCGCCGTAGGATCCCTATTGGTCGCTGGAGTCCCAGAAGATCCCGTATCAACACTACTGGTTAGGCTGGTAAAGCTGCTTGAAGAGACCCCAAAGTTCAGTGGCTTAAATGAGGGACGTTTCTCTTTCATACAACAGCCCAAGCATAGAAACGGGACCAATTGGGGCAGTTTCGTGGTGCCGTCTATGTCTGGCATAATCTGTGACTTCCACCTGTGGCCTAGGGCAGCGGCTCCAGGCCCCAACTTCCTATGTGCCTTTCCCACACCCTTGGAAGGCATGTTCTGTGCCCTCGTTGAAGGGTGCAGCTCGCCAGCTCCACAGACCACACTGTCTGTTGCCTCTCCGTAGTCCCTGGGCCACAGGATGTGGTTTTTCGCTAGGCAGCAGTATGTTTGTCATTAAAAAGTGGAGGATGGCTGCTGCTGGCCACAGCCTCTGCCCCAATCCACAATCTGGCTGGTCCTCTCCCAACTACTGGGATTCGTGATTACTATACCAAAATCCCTTATGATAGGGGAGGACCCTGCTACCTCCTGAAGGCCCAGGCAGGTAACTTATGCCTCGTAAACTATGAAAACGGTCATAGCAGCTAACAGTTACCACGCCCTTACATAGGGCAGCTGTGTGGCAAGGACTGGCATGTTAATCCTCGCCTCTGAGACAGGGGTGATTATCATCCTCCATTTTACCACTGAGGAAAATGCAGCACAGGGCAACTAGGTAATTCATCCAAAGTTACCCAGCAGGGAGGGGGGCAGACGGTACCAGCCCAGGCAGTCTGGCCCAGAGCCGGGTGCTCTCATCCACGGAATGGCACACGTCTGTGAAAAGGTCAAGAGGCCTTGGGTGACTCCGTTGGTCGAGTGCTGGGCTCTTGATTTCAGCTCAGCTTACGATCTCAGGGTCGTGAGATCCAGCCCTGTGTGGTAGGCTTGGGATTCTCTCTCCCTCTGCCCCTACCCCCGACTCGTGTGCGATCTCTTAAATTAAACATCTTAAAAAAAAAGATTGGGGAGCTGCTGGGGACAGATGTCTGTTTTCAGGATACTTAGTACTTAAAAACAAGAAACGGCAAGATTTCATTCAAGCAAGGCACTCTTCCTTTTTAAATCTACACAAAATTTAGTTAACAAATACTTTTAGCGTCCAGTTTGGTGGGTTCTGGCAACCACCCACCAGTGTGTACCCAAGCAAGACCTGGGGCGTTTCCTTCACAGTGACGGCTCTCTCATGCCCCAGCTAGCCGCCCACTCGGAGGGAGCCTCTGCTCAGACTTCTGTCGCCACGAGCCTTGGCTGTTCTTGAGACTCTTGCAGAGGGAACTGCACAGTGCGCACTTTTTTTTTTTTTTAAAGATTTATTTATTTGAGAGAGAGCACATGAGAGGGGGGAGGGTCAGAGGGAGAAGCAGGCTCCCCGCCGAGCAGGGCGCCCGACGCGGGACTCGATCCGGGACTCCGGGATCATGACCCGAGCCGAAGGCAGTGGCCCAACCGACTGAGCCACCCAGGCGCCCGCACAGTGCGCACTTGTGTGCGGAGGGGTCCTTGCGCTTAGTACGGCTCTCGGATTCAGCCCTGTTATCGCTGAATGTCGGACGCACCAGAGGAGCTTCCGAGGACAGCGCCCCGGCCGGGCGCGTCCCTCTGGGGACGTCCGCCTGCACACCCGAGGCTGCCCGGCCGCGCCGCGGGGCAGGCGCGTGCGCCCAGCCTCGTGGGCAACGGGCTCGCCGTCCCCGGGGTGCGCCGGTCCTCCTCCCGCCGCAGCACCGCACGGGAGGGCCTGACGACCGCACATTCCCACCGGAACGAACAGCCCCGCCGGGTGAAAAGCAGCGCTTCACTGCGGGTTGAGTCTGCATTGCACTCACCCTGATCTACGGGCTCTTCCTTTGGGCCCAGAGCCCTGCCAGCACTGCCCCGTTCAGCGCTTTCACCAAGAACGTCACGTTCCTGCCGCGTTTTTCTTTGTCCCATTTGAAAAGCTGCGAGTTACAGGCGGAGTCACCCTCCACGTCCACGCCTCAGTTCCGGCGAGCACGGGAGCGCTTCCCTCGGGCCCTGCAGTCCCCGGTCGAGCCCTCGCGGGCCCCGGCGCCAACCGCGAGGAACCCCGCAGCCCGGACCCTGCCCACGCGGCGCCGGCGCAGCGGCTCGCACGCGCCCCCACGGCAAGCCCTCCGCGCGCGCAGGGCTGCGGCCGGGGAGGCCGGCGGCGCGGCTCCCGGCGCACGTCTCCCCAGCACGCGCCGCAGCCGCCGGGTCTCCGGCTTGCTTAGGCAGAACCCGTTCCAGCCCGCGCGCCGCCAGGAGCCCTGCTGGGTCCCGGCGAAGCCCGACCCTCCCGAGGACCTTGGCTGCGCCGCCCCGCGAGCAGCCGTTCCCGCCGAGCCCCGGGCCGCCCCCCGGACCTCCCCCATCCCCGGCCGGCTCCGGAGCCCCCTTGCGCAGCACGCCGCGCCCGCGGAAGAGGCCGCCGCCTCAGGACCCCGCGGCTCGAGCTGCCCGCGCCACTGCCCGAAGGCGCGCTCGACCGCCCCGCGCCGCCACGGGCTGGGGCCGCGGCCACGCCCCCCCGCCAGGCCACCGGGCGCGGCGGCGAGCGCCCCGTCCCGCGCGCGCGGTCTCGGCCCCGCACCGGCCTCCCCGGCGTGCGACGCCATCAGGCAGCGGCGCGGGCAGCTCGGGTCGCGGGGTCCTGAGGCTGCGGCCTCCTCCACGGCGGCGGCGGGGCGGCGGCGGCCGGGCGGCGGCGATGCTGTGGCCGCGGCTGGCGGCGGCTGAGTGGGTGCCCCTGGTCTGGGAGCTGCTGGGCGCCTCGGTGCTGCTCATCGCGGTGCGCTGGCTGGTGCGGCGGCTGGAGAAGCGGCCGCGGGGCCTGGGCCGGAGCGGGCCTCCAGCCCCGCCGCCCGGCGCGCCCACGAACTCGGCCTTAGACCCAGGTGAGGCCTGTCCGCCGGTGGGCCCGGGCCCCCCCCTCTGCCGTGGCCGCTCCTCCACGGGCCCCCTCCCCTCCTCTCCCCTCCGCTCGCCCCCTCCCCTCCTCTCCCCTCCACGGGCCCCCCCCCGCTCGCCCCCTCCCGTCGCCGCCCGGGCCCCCCCCCCTCTGCCGTGGCCGCTCCTCCACGGGCCCCCTCCCCTCCTCTCCCCTCCGCTCGCCCCCTCCCCTCCTCTCCCCTCCACGGGCCCCCCCCCGCTCGCCCCCTCCCGTCGCCGCCCGGGCCCCCCCCCCTCTGCCGTGGCCGCTCCTCCACGGGCCCCCTCCCCTCCTCTCCCCTCCGCTCGCCCCCTCCCCTCCTCTCCCCTCCGCTCGCCCCCTCCCCTCCTCTCCCCTCCACGGGCCCCCCTCCGCTCGCCCCCTCCCGTCGCCGCCCGGGCCCCCCCCCTCTGCCGTGGCCGCTCCTCCAAGGGCCCCCTCCCCTCCTCGGCCCCCCCCCCCCGCTCGCCCCCTCCCGTCGCCGCCCGGGCCCCCCCCCCCTGCCGTAGCCGCTCCTCCGCGGGCCTCGGCCCCCCCCCTCGCCGGCCTGAATCTGGGGTTCTGGGAAGAGACCTAGAGTGAAACTCGGGCGTCCGCGGCGCGCCGGCGGTGCGAAAGCCGGGCGCTCCGCTGGCTTGCCCGCGGGCACTCCTGTTCGTTTGGGTCCTCAGGGGACCGCCCCCCCGCGCCCTCCTGCGGTCGGGGCTCGTCGCCTGCGTGGCCTCGCACCGCCGCGCGTGCTGCCGCAGCGGGCTCCCCGGATGCTGCGCGCCCTGCGCGCGGCGGGCCGTGCTCGTTCGCGTTCGGTTCGCCCGGTGGCGCGGGAGTCCGGCCCCTCGCGGGGGAAGCGATACCCGTGAGGACCCGGGGGGGGCGCTCTAGCAGCCGGAAGTAGAGTTGAGCCCGCCGTGGAGCTCAGGGCCGACGGGCCCATAGGGAGGGCTCCCTTTCTCGTCGTGGGTTTACAGCCGGGGACACGGTCCCGGGTCCCCCCAGCGCCGCTGAGAACGCGGGGCGAGGCAGAGGCCCCTGGGAGCCGGGCCTGGGGACGGCAGGGGCCGCGCTGCCCGTCCTGGCGCCTGCTGCCTGCTGAGCTTCCCTCATCCTCGTGAGGAAGCTTCGGCCGCCTTTTCTTTCCCCTTTTCTTTAAGACTTCATTTATTCATTCATGAGAGAGAGAGAGAGGCAGAGGGAGAAGCAGACCCCCCGCCGAGCAGGGAGCCCCATTCCCGACTCCATCCCAGGGCCCGGACCGTGACCTGAGCCGAAGGCAGACGCTTAGGCAGACGCTTAACCGGCTGAGCCCCCAGGCGCCGCCGTCGCTGGCATCTTGAGTGAATGGCAGGCGGGTTTGTCCAGGCGCATAGTCCGCCCTGTAACTGTCGGACACCGAGACCGCACGTTGCCCAGGTGCTAAAGCTGAGCGGTGTGTGTGTCCAGTGGGGCATGGGACTAAGAGGTTAGCGTTTGCAGTGTCTGGTTTTTTTAATTTTTATTAAAAACTTCCTTTTTAATGTTTAGTTTTCTATTTTGAAATCATTTTAGACATAAAAAATCACAGAGTATGACGCAGATACACACATGTGAAAAGATGCTCAACGTTTCCAGCCAACAGTGAAATACAAATTAAACCTAAAATGAGATATGACACCCATTAAGATGGCTAAAATAAAAATACCACAAGGTGCTGGTGGAAATGTTGAGAAAACTGGGTCTCTCATTTACTGCTGGTGGAAATAATAAGGTTCAGCTACTCCAAAATCAGTCTGGCAGTTGCTCAAAAACGTAAGTGCACTGCTTTCCTGGGCATTTATCCTAGAGAAGTGAAAACTTATTTTTACACAAAAACCATGCGTGAATGCTTGTAACTAGTTGTAATTGTAGTGTTCAAACACTGGAAGCAACCCAGATGTCTCCCCAGGGCTGAATGGCTAAACGGGCTGTGGCACATTCACACCATGGAGTGCTACTCAGCAGTGAGAAGGAAGTGCTGGTGGGTCTCCAGGGCATTATGCTGAGTGAAAACAGGCAATCTGAGAAGGTTTATAGTGTATGATTCCATTTATAATAACATTCTTGAAAAATTACAGCGATAGAGAACAAATTAGTGATTGCCAGGGTTTGGGGACAGGGGAGGAGGTTGGGTGTGACTAAGGGGGTGGCAGGAGATCTTTGTTCTGGTGGAACAGTTGAATGGTTGATTATGAGTTTATACGTGTGGTGGACGGTCATGGAATGCCATACGAAGACAGCAGAGTGATGCAGGCACTTTCCTGATGCGCTGCAGCGTGTAGGATGTCACCAGTGAGGGACACTAGGAACCGTCCATACTGTTTTTCAACTTGAGTTTGTAATTTTTTCAAAATATAGTTAGATCCGGTATACCATTCACTTGGATTCCCTAATGTTAGTATCTTACATAATCACTGTAAGTAGGACAAGCCTCAACCTTAGTCTGGGGCCCTTTACAGAAGTTTGCTGACCCCTGTTCTGGCCTCCCCCTCCCCTTGCTTGTAGCTCCCTTCTCTTGGTGAGGAACCTGGCTTTCCTTAGCCACGATCTATGTAGTTATTTGCTGATTCCTAGAGTAGGAGTAAAGTAGCTTCAGAATTGCTGACCTGTAGAGTGCATAGTCACATGCTGTTTTTCGTTTACTAGGTTAGTTCTCTCCCACCCGTTTCTAATTTGTAATGCAGTTGAGCTCGTTTGTTCTGGTTTGTATTCCACTTGGGGGGCCTTCCGCCATCTTTTTGTTTATTATTTTTTAGTATGTGAATCACAGACATGTTTCTAAAAGTCAGAACATACGAAGTGATACTCAGAAGGATTGCCCTCGGGACACCTGCGTGGCTCAGTCGGTTAGGCATCAGGTCTTGATCTCAGGGTCCTGGGATCGAGCCCCACGCCAGGCTCCCTGCTCCCCAGGGAGCCTGCTTCTCCCTCTCCTGCTGCTGCTCCCCCTGCTTGTGCTTTCTCTCTGTCAAATAAATAAATTAAAAAAACAAAAGCAAAAAATTTGAACCTTAAAAAAAAAAAAGTGTTGCCCTCCCCTGGGCTGGCCCTCTGTCCATTCTTCGAATCCAGTTTCCACCCTCCACCCCCAACAGGGACCCAAGCTCATTAGTTTCTGCTTTATTCTTCTTTTTGTACACATGAGCAAATACTTGTGTATTGTATTACAAATATTAATGTATTAATAAGTGTATTAAAACACATGTTTTTGTTTTTATTCAAATTGACTTTCTAGCAGAGTAATAAGCCTGTGTTACTTGATAACTTAGTAACCAGAACTGACAGTTACGGATAATTTGTCAGTGTCAAACACAGCAGCACAGATTTAACATGTAGTAGTTTATCTAATTTACATTGCAGCCTAAGAAGTAGAGCTGTTGTTATGTCCATTTTATAGATGAGGAAGCAGGCTTGGCGTTTGCGTGACTTGTCCAAGGTCACACGGTTAGTGCTGTGACTTAATGTAATTGTTCTATTTAGTGCCTGCAAGGACAAAACCCCCTTCAGACTAGCCCGGGATAGAAAGGTAGTAGCTTTAGAGCAAAGACACGGGAATGGTATGAAAACTGGACTTCTGTAGGAATGGATGCAATTCCTCTGTTTATTCAGAGCATCTACCCCTCTTGTCCCGACCCCTTGTGTGTGGTTTTTACCTACCCTGTGCCTTTCATACCAGTTTCCTATCACTGGGCCACCTCTGTTGCTCTTATATCCAGGTACAGGGGGAATCTCCCTGGGTAGAATCCTGTGATCAGTAGGCCTCCCCCTTCAAGTTCTTTGGCAGCTTTTTGGGGCTGTGCGTTACATTCATTGTTTAAAAGGCTAATATCCCCTTTGCAAATAAGTAACAGCTATTTTTGAAACCTTGGAGTTGGGTGAGGGGAGGTGGCATTAAAAGTTAAAAAAAAAAAAAATACACAGGGGCTCCTGGGAAGCTCAGTCCATTGAGCTCTGGCTCTTGATCTCAGCTCAGATCTTGATTTCAGAGTCACGAGTTCCCTGTATTGAGCTCCATGCTGGGCGTGGAGCCTACTTAAAAAAGGTAAATAAAAGAAATACACAGAAATAGGGTAATATAACGAACTCCTTGCTTGTAGTCATCATCCAGCTACAACAGGTATTGATACTTTGTGAATCTTATTTTATCTGTCACTGCTCCTCCTTTTGTTCTGCTAATTTTTTTTAAAGATTTATTTATTTTAGAGGGAGAGAGAATCTCAGGCAGACTCCCACTGACCTCAGAGCCTCACGTGGGGCTCAGTCTCACGACCCCAAGATCATGACCTGAGCTGAAATCAAGAGTCAGACACTTAACCAACTGAGCCACCCAGGTGCTCCTAGAATAATTCAAAGTTAATCTTGAATGTTCCATCATTTCATCTGAAAATACCTCTTAAAACTCTCTACTCCTTGGTTTCATTGATACATTACTGTGTGCAATTCTTTCTTCATCCCTTCTAGGAGTTTCTCTTTCTCTCCTATCTTTTAATCCTTTGTGTTTGTTCCTTGTTATACCTGGTGTATTATTGGTATTATAATCACCATCCATGTGCTTATGACTCTCAGATCTGTTACCGACTCTGAACTTACAATCTTGGACTTGAAAATTGAAATGCCCAGTTGGTGGCAGTAAGGTGTTTCTGAGGCTACCATGCCTAAGTCTCCATCTATTTCTAGTACTCTCTGTCTCAGGTGGAGTCACTCATAGGCATGTAGACTGGAGATCTGGGTGTTACTCTAGGCTGACTGCAATCCCTCAAACCCCTCCCCATGGCATCTGATCCATCTGTCCTTAAGTTTTTCTAATCTGAGCCCTTGTTTCCAGCCCCATTACCTCAGCACTAGTCTTTTTCCCCCTTATTTCTTACCTTCTTCCCACTTCTTGCTGACCATGCTTACACCTATAATCCATAGGTTTAACTGCTCTTTCTCCAAAGGTATTGACTGAAGCTCTTGCTGTAGCTCAAATCCACTTGTTGGGTAGCTGTGTAACTTGAACAAGTTACTTAGTGTCTCTGTGATCCAGGTTCTTCGTCTATCAGGTGGTGGGTGAACAGTAATGATAACCTGCCACACGGAAAAATTGTAGTGCGGGAAAGACCCCCAAGATGTTAAACGTTAGCTACTCGTTATTAGTATTAGCAGGATGACTGCCAGAGCTATCTTTGTGGCTTCTCTGGCTAAATCTTTGCATAATTTCCCTTTATTTATGGAATAAAGTTCAAATATATCTGTAGGATATATTTCTGGAGTTGGAATTTTGATGGATATTGTTCACTTGACTTCCTTGGGTTTGTTCCACATTACACTCTAGCAACAAATGAGCATGCCTGTTTCCCCAGTGTGCTTACCTTCCTAGAATGTTAGTGTGATCGTATCACGTAATAGTACCAGGTTCTAACATTCTTATCCAGATGAACCAGAAATTGCTTATTTTAATTTTGTTTAGATTATCATCAATTTGGAAACCAAAAACTTCAGAAAGTTCTCATAGAGGGCTTATAGAGTACAAAAAATATGGAGAAACACTGGGTTGAAATGAAACTGAAGCCAGTTTTTTTGCTACTGTTGTGTGTTTTTTTTTGTTTTGTTCTGCTTTTTAATAAGAAAAGATGTACTTATAACCATCAAATTGATTTTTGTTGTCTTGGGCCTAGGTGAAATGACAATGGATGCCATCTTGGCGCGACTGAAACTCCTGAATCCCGATGACCTTAGAGAAGAAATTGTGAAAGCCGGATTGAAATGTGGACCCATTACATCAACTACAAGGTTCATTTTTGAGAAAAAATTGGCTCAGGCTTTATTAGAGCATGGAAGAACACTGCCTTCACATCCTCCTGGCCTCGACACCTCAGGTGCCACTACTCTAAGCCAAGATGCACAAAGGATTTTGAAGTCTGCTGTAGGGAGCCAGGTTGAGCAGGTCGGCTTGTCTGAAGACAGAGATTTTGGCTATAGCATGGGCTTGAATCCTCCAGAGGAAGATGTCGTGACATCTAAGACCTGCTCCATGACCTTCAGTGCCGCCACTGGGGTCAATGGCCACAAAGCTGTAGCGAGGGCGCCTACGGAGCCGCCTCTGTACTATGGGGTGTGCCCGGCGTACGAGGACACCCCAGCGAGAAATGGTAATGTAACAAGCACCTGGTGTTTCTTTTTTTTTTAAGACTTTATTTATTTGTCAGAGAGAGACAGAGAGATCACAGGCAGGGGGAGCAGGCAGAGGGAGAAGCAGGCTTCCTGCTAAGCAGGGAGCCTGATGTGGGGCTCCGTCCCAGGACCCTGGGATCATGACCTGAGCCAAAGGCAGACGCTTAATGACTGAGCCACCCAGGAGCCCCGCACCTGGTGTTTCTTACACAGGTGGTTTGTGGACAGCAAGGGGGGGTGATTTTGAAAATCTCAAATCACAGAGAAGAAAAGAATTTAATCACTGTAATTTCACCACCCCAGGTGAACCATTGTTAACATTTTTATGTAGAACTCTGCTGAATTATTTGTAAATGTATATGTGAATTTTTAAAAATGAAGAACATTGGATTGTGTGAGACATGCTTCACCTTATAAATAGTTTTTGGCTAGCTTCCATTTGCCAATTAATTATTTCCCTCTTTTTTTTTTTTTATTCAACAGAATCTGAACACCTTTTATGTTAATATAAATGGCTAATGCAGCTATAAGTAGTTTTCAGCATCAAAGAATTACCATTTTTTTAAAAAAAGATTTTATTTATTTGAGAGAGAGAGTGAATGAGCGAGCTTGTGCGAGTGAGCGTGAGTGGGGGGAGGGACAGAGGGAAGGGGAGAAGCAGGCTGTCCTTTGACAGGGAGCGGGGCCACATCTCAGGACCCTGGGATCATGACCTGAGTCGAGGTCAGACGCTGAACCGACTGAGCCCCCCAGGTGCCCTGAAGAATTCCAATTTTAAACAAGACTGAAGTAGATTTAGCACTGGAAAGAATTAAATAAAAGCCTGATGTTGAATAGAATGTCAGAAATTATAGACTATCATTATTGTGATATCATTTGTGGTGGTACCCCAAAATAGGAGATTTGTTAGACATATTATGTACCATGAGTAGAATGGAATATTATTCAGCCATAACAAATTTTTTTTTTTTTTAAAGATTTTATTTATTTATTTGAGACAGAGAGAATGAGAGACAGAGAGCATGAGAGGGAGGAGGGTCAGAGGGAGAAGCAGACTCCCTGCCGAGCAGGGAGCCCGATGCGGGACTCGATCCCGGGACTCCAGGATCATGACCTGAGCCGAAGGCAGTCGCTTAACCAACTGAGCCACCCAGGCGCCCCATATTCAGCCATAACAATTTTTTAAAGAAGTATTAGCGACACTGGAAATGGTCATGATGCAATTTCTGTTTATTTTTAATCTTTATTATAAAAGTTGCTTTTTGTAAAAAAAATTTATATAAGATTATATGTTATATTTATATATATATTACATATGCAGTACATAAAGTAAAAGTGAAATTTCTTTCCTCCTCCCCACCCAAATCTTACTCAAATTAACCACCTTATAACTGCTTTTGTGTGTCATTCCTGACCCTCCTGTATTTTATTTATATATATATATGAATTCATATTGTATTTATTTGTAATATATTTTCATTTAAATTTAACATAGATCTACATATAAAAATGTACCTTATTTTTATTTTCATAAAAATGGTAAGTAGAGGGGCGCCTGGGTGGCTCAGTCGGTTAAGCATTGGGCTCCCTGCTCAGCGGGGATCTGCTTCTCCCTCTCCCTCTGCTTCTCTCCGCTGCGCATGCATTCTCTCACTCTCTCTAGCTCTCTCAAATAAATAAATAAAATCTTAAAAAGAAAAAAAGCTAAGTAGAAGTGTTGGGTCAAAAGGTATGTATTTTTAAAACTTTGAAGGCCACTGCCCTCCAAAAGGCATTGGCATTCGCTGTGTTTGAGTGATTTTTCCAGTCTCTACAGTACTGAACTCAACGTTTTAAATCTATAAAAAGGGAAGGCAGGTGTATTGTTTCTGCTCTGTCAACCACACTGCATGTTATTGAACTTCTCTTTTATATCTTTGGAATAAGGGAAACCTCTATCTTGTTGTAGGTGGATTACTTTTTTTATGTTGTTATAGTTTATTTGTATTAATTGGATGTATCTTTTGGTCATATCTGTTGACCATTTTTTTGGGCAATGGACATTATTATTCTGTTATGTTAAAAATTTTTTTCTCCACTTAAAAATTTTTTTTTCTCCCCATCTGTCATTTGTGTTTTATGTATTTATGAGAGTCTCATATGAATTCGATTATGAGAGTTCTCCTACAGAACTTTAATATTTTTATGTAATTGGAACTTTCTTTTCCTTAATGTATTCTTGGTTTCTTGGCATGCTTAGAAAGGCATTCCCCACCCAAAATTATGTTTAAAAATCTCTTACATTCTTTGCTAATATAGTCGTAATTTTTAACTTGCTTTTATTATTATTTTTATTTAGAGCATTAATCCAAGAATTTTATTTTTCAGTATGAAATAGTATCCTTAAATATAAAGTTACACATGTATACAAAATACATATTTTTATGTCCATGCCCATACATATGATCAAGCTTATTGTGTTCTTTTGACTAGCTAAGGCCCTTTTTCTTCAGGATTAAAAATCTGAAATATTGGGGCACCTGGTTGTCTCAGTCAGTGGAGTGTGCAACTCTTGATCTTGGGGTTGTGAGTTTGAGTCCCATGTTGGGTGTAGAGCTTACTTAAAAATAAAATGTTTAGGTTGCGCCTGGGTGGCTCAGTCGTTAAGCGTCTGCCTTCGGCTCAGGTCATGATCCCAGAGTCCTGGGATCGAGTCCCGCATCGGGCTCCCTGCTCTGCGGGAGGCCTGCTTCTCCCTCTCCCACTCCCCCTGCTTGTGTTCTCTCTCTCGCTGTGTATCTCTCTCTGTCAAATAAATAAAAAAAAATCTTTAAAAATAAAAAAATAAAATGTTTAACGGGTGCCTGGGTGGCTCAGTGGGTTAAGTGTCTGCCTTTGGCTCAGGTCATGATACTGAGGTTCTGGGATTAAGCCCTGCATTGGGCTCCCTCCTCAGCGGGGAGCCTGCTTATCCCTCTGCCTGCCGCTCCCCTTGCGTGTTGGGGGTCCAAGCCTTGTGCTCTCTGTCAAATAATAAAATCTTAAAAAAAAAAAAAAAGAAGAAGATTAAAAAAATCAAAGGTAGACGCTTAACCCACTGAGCCACCCAGGCGCCCCTAAAAAAAAATTTTTTTTTAAGAAAAAAATCTGAAATACTAATATGAGAGAAAAATCAGACAACTGGGTAACAGTTGTTTATTATGAAACCCATGTCTTCAGGTGTGAACTAAGTGACAGTGACTCCGGTTACTCCTGTCTAATTTTCCTGTTACTTTTCCCATGCAGAAAGGATTCATGTTTATGAAGATAGAAAGGAAGCATTACAAGCTGTCAAAATGATCAAAGGATCTCGATTTAAAGCTTTTTCAAGTAGAGAAGATGCTGAGAAATTTGCTAGAGGAGTTTGTGATTATTTCCCTTCTCCAAGCAAAGCCTCTTCACCACTTTCTCCTGTGAAAATAGCACCGTTCTTTGGCAGCGGTGGACTGAAAGGTAAATGATGTGGTGGCTCCCTTCTTGGTGTTACTGTCAGGTGGGCCCCAGGTGTTTTGTGCTCTCTTCCACATGTATTGTAATTGGTTTTCTCCTTTGAGAGAAGTCTGGTTTGCTAGGAAGTAGAGAGCTAAGGCCCAGGCCGTGGAGAATGGGCCAGGTACCTGGTCTGGGAATGACCCTGAGGAGAAAGGCAGCGGGGCACTGAGTGGGCCAGGTATCTCCTCCAGGCCCTGAAGCTGACAAGGCCAAGGGAAAACAGCAGAAGGGCCACGGTTGGCCCTTTTGTTCTGCTCCTTTTGTTTCCCTCTCTCCTTGCTGCCCATGGGATTCAGGGGCTTTGTTAGATGCTGAGCCTTGTCTACTTCCCACCTGAATGAAGCTACACCTGCTTCTAGGACTGTGCCACAAGCTTTGACCCAGACAGTCCTGCAAAAGTTGAGCTCACCTGCAGGACCTGTCCAGTCAGAGATCTGACCATACCCACTCTGGCTCCAAACCAGGGTCTTGAGAGAGGCTTTTTCAGTCAGCACTGTGCAGAAGCCCAGCAGCCTCCAACTTCCGCCCAGCCTCCATCATGTCCCTTCCAGGAGCTCACAGTTGTCCTGTGTCCCAGGTGGGCTGGGACTCCCAGGGAAGGCACCTTCTCCTTATGGACATAAGGCCTTCAGGCGAAAGCCCTTTCCTCTCTTTCCTTACTTGGCCTTACACAGGTGCTGCTTAGAGGGGAACCAGAGTGATTTTGGATAGTTTGCAGTTTATGAAAATACTCCTCTAGAGATTGCTTTCAGACGTTCTCAGGGGGTTGTAATTAAACGACAACACTTTGACTCACTCTGCCTTTATGGGAATGCGCTGTGTGCTTGGAGGTCCTTGTGCAGACGCTGCTGGTGTGCCCTTATCCCTCCTCACAAAGCCTTTGGCAGGAGAGTCCGGTCAGGTCCTTTTGCTCTTGGGCTCATGCCGTAGTCATGCTGGTGCCGTGCTGTTGGCTGGGACACATGCCCTTCTGCCGTTCGTGCTAATTGATTCTTACTTGTTACTCCCAACTAGGCTAGAAGCTTCTGTGGGAGAGATTTTTGTTGCCCTCAATGTAGCACACGGTGGGTGATGAGAGAATGTTTGTGAAGTTAAATGTTCTTAAATTCTGTCTCTTGATGACAGATGGTTTGTACTCCTCTGAGTCAGAAACTATAAACAGAGAACGAGCAAACAGTTATAAAACCCCCCGTACTCAGGATCTCACTGCCAAACTTCGAAAAGCTGTGGAGAAGGGAGAAGAAGACATTTTTTCTGATCTCACCTGGAGTAACCCCCGGTATCTGATTGGTTCAGGGGATAATCCAACCATCGTGCAGGTAAGCCTGCTTCTAGGATTATTAGCATCAAAAGACTGGTTGACAAAAATGAAGCTCAGAATCTACAGTTTTCTTTCAGGAAGGATGTAGGTACAACGTTATGCATGTTGCTGCCAAAGAGAACCAAGCTTCGATCTGCCAGCTGACTCTGGAGACCCTGGAAAACCCTGAGTTTATGCGGCTCATGTACCCAGACGATGACCCGAACATGCTGCAGCAGCGCATTTGTTACATCGTGGACCTGTATCTGAACACTCCTGATAAAGCGGTAAGTGTGCCTTAGGAGAAGTCATAGCCAGTTTCAAAACAAGATTTGTGTCTTTCATGTGTGAGTATTTACTGCATCCCACTGCATGTAGAGAGGAGATGGCGCATTCATTGAGCTCAGCCAGCTTAGAGAGGGATGGATGACAAGATCCATTCACACAAAGAGTTCTGCCCCACCAGGCAGGGTATACCTGAGTCTCAGCTGTGTGCAAGGACAGGTCCCTCCTGGCCTTTTTCCAAAGTGGCCTGAGCTGGGCTTTGATGGGAGGATGAGCCAATGTCAAAACTTACAGAGAGAAGAAAGTAAAGGGGTTTTGGTGCCTTTTATTCTAGGATTCTATGTATTATATATTTTTTTCCCACTTAATATAGGAATATTTCCTGTGGAGTTAAAAATTTCAAAGGGTTGGTTTTTAATGGTGCATAGGCTTACGTAAGAATTCTTTTTTTTTTTTTTTTAAGATTTTATTTATTTGACAGAGAGAGACACAGTGAGAGAGGGAACACAAATGGGAGGAGTGGGGAGAGGGAGAAGCAGGCTCCCCGCCCAGCAGGGAGCCCAATGTGGGGCTCGATCCCAGGACCCTGGGACCATGACCTGAGCCAAAGGCAGACGCTTAACAACTGAGCCACCCAGGCACCCTTACGTAAGAATTCTTAAAACAGAAGAATTTTACATATTTATATAAGGCAGAACCCAGTGATAGCTTAGAGCCAAGAGTTGTAAGCTCTGAGCAAGCCTAGGAGTTTGAAAAATTGTATTTGGCAGGAGAGGGAGTAACAGAAGCATGTTGGAGTGGCGTGTGACTTACTATTTCATGACATGTGTCAAATGTGACACATTGAACTCCAGAACTGCAAAGCAGGATAACTTTTATTTATTTATTTATTTTTAAAGATTTTATATATTTATTTGACAGAGAGAGACACAGTGAGAGAGGGAACAGAAGCAGGGGGAGTGGGAGAGGGAGAAGCAGGCTTCCCGCGGAGCAGGGAGCCCGATGCGGGGCTTGATCCCAGGACCCTGGGATCATGACCTGAGCCAAAGGCAGACGCTTAACAACTGAGCCACTCAGGTGTCCTGCAAGGATAACTTTTAAATTAACAAGAGAGAAAAGGGGGAGTAAAGATAAATTTGGCCAAGCTAGCACAATTATAGAAGGAAGTAAAAGAGAAAACAGTGATTATATTAAAGTAATAGTAAGTGTAAAATAAGGAGCAAAATCAGAGTTATGTCCGTTAAAACTAAGGGTGAACATACTCAGTAAGGAAGGATTCCTGACTTGATTAGTACAATCAGGAAGTGTGACTTGAAAAACATAACAGAAGTGTGTGCCCTACAGAAAATACACAGTTTTTCTTAATGTCTATGCAGTATTCACAGAAAATGTGCATATGCATGTCCACAGGGAACACTTAATACATTCTTGAAATTAGATGTTATAGGCCATCTTTGACCATAACTCACTAAGAGTAGGAATCATTTAAATTGTTGGCCACAAATTTGGACTATTAAGAAAGCACAGGGCACAAGAGAGATCAGCACGGTGAGAAGCAGGGCTGGGCCAGCCAGCAGTGTCCGAAGAACCCAGAGCCTGCTGTCTTGTGCAGGAACAGCAGTTGCCGGCAGGAATGAGGAGAGAGGTTGCGGCCAAATTTGCAGATTTTGAAGCAGGTTAGAGGTGGACGTTATGAGGTGTGAAGAAGAGGAGTGGCCAGAAGGAAGCAAGCATGCTGAGGTCCCCTTGTGGTTGAATGCTCTGAATGAGTGAAAACAGTGACCCCTGATCTGCAGTGACCATCATCCTCCCACCTCTGCAGGCCTGACGGGAGATCAGGTTATTCTTAGAGCTTGGGCCACAGAGCTGGATGGAGTTGTCTCAGGTAGAACATGAATCAAAGTCTGAATTCAGAGAATGCACTAGAGCAGATCCAGCAAAGGACAGCCTGTTTTTGTAAATAAAGCTTTATTGGAACACAACACTGCTCATTCTAAATGTTCGCTTTCTGGCCCTCGGTTGAGAACGTTTGCCAACCTGGACAAAAGGGCAAGATGCAGTTAGGGGGTGCTACTGTAGGCAAACACCCAGACTTTTCTAGGTTCATGTGGGAGTTACATGAAATAGAGCATGTGGAGTAGGGGATGGGTGGTGCCTTGAAGTTACTTGCTCACACAAGATCATTTGGGTCACCTAGTGAGTGCAGGAAGCAAGGCCCATGAGGAGTCTTGGTAGTCTGGGTGAGAAACTAAGGGGATGGCAGTGTGGCATATGGAGGGCAGGGATGACCTGCCAGGGACTCCAGAGCTGGGATCTGCCATCCTTGGTGATCATAGGTGGACTGCATGGGCATGTGTCTAGCTCTGGTAGATGTGAGTGGGTTCTTTTCTGGATGTGCTACCTTTGAGCTTGTGGTCATTCAAGTGAGGATACCCAAAGGAGGTTTGCTCTATAGCTCCTGGGCTCAAGGATGCTGTTACCCTAAAGTCCGCTGATCTTCAGGCCTTAGTTGAAGGTATCTGGGATTGGGGCTACTAAGGGCAAGTCAGAGCATTGACAAGCATCCTGGGGTCAGGAGTAGAGTTTCATTTACTAGGTATTAGCCACTAGAGAGAATTTTCTTTGGGTACAGACCAAGTTCATAGACTTTGTTTTATTCTGGGTGTTGCCTCCATCTGTTTATTTCACCTTTTTTTTTTTTAATTAAAGATTTTATTTATTTATTTTGACAGAGCGAGCGAGAGAGAGCGAGAGAGGGAACACAAGCAGGGGGAGTGAGAGAGGGAGAAGCAGGCCTCCCACTGAGCAGGGAGCCTGACGTGGGGCTCGATCCCAGGACCCTGGGACCATGACCTGAGCTGAAAGCAGACGCTTAACGACTGAGCCACCCAAGTGCCCCTCATCTTTTTTTTTAAAGATTATATTTATTTATTTAGAGACAGAGCACAAGCAGGGGGAAGGGCAGAGAGAGAGGGAGAGAGAATCTCAAGCAGACTCTGTGCTGAGCGTAGAGTCTGACGCTGACTCAATCTCACAACCCTGAGATCGTGATCTGAACTGAAATTAAGAGGCACTTAACCGACTGAGCCACCCAGGTGCCCCTGTTTATTTCACCTTTTGAGCATTGATTATATAACATTGTACTGGGCCCTGAAATGTTAAAGCTGCTGCTGTTTACTGAGCAGGTATTTTGCCCTAGCTCATTTATAAGCTATCCCTAGGCCTGGGCACCCATGCACTGGGCAACAGTAATGGGTGCTGGGCTGGCCTCAAGCCCTGGCTTAAAGTGGGTATGTGCTAACATGCCATTTATTTCTTAGTTATAATAACAGTGTCTTTTTTTTTTTTTTTGAAGATTTTATTTATTTATTTGAGAGAGAGAATGAGATAGAGCATGAGAGGGGGGAGGGTCAGAGGGAGAAGCAGACTCCCCGCTGAGCAGGGAGCCCTGATGTGGGACTCGATCCCTGGACTCCAGGATCATGACCTGAGCTGAAGGCAGTCGCTTAACCAACTGAGCCACCCAGGCGCCCAATAACAGTGTCTTTTTATGGTCTTTTAATTTTGAGGGTTTTTGTTCTGCTAAATACGTATTTTTATCTTAAAGCAAACTTATGAAACAAACATAAATAAGAAATATTCTTTCTCTGCACCTTTCTCAGGGCTATGACACACCGTTGCACTTTGCTTGTAAGTTTGGGAATGCAGATGTGGTCAACGTGCTGTCTTCACACCCTTTGATTGTAAAAAATCCAAGGAATAAATATGATAAAACTCCTGAAGATGTAAGTATCTATTAAAATGCTGTTACTGTAGTGTTAGACATGAAAATATGTGAAATTATAGTCTTGATCATAGTTATTGTGAAGTCACAGTACTGACTGTGTGAACGTGTTTGCCTTATGGGCACACCTTAGAACCATGATTACTGAGTAAGATGCACCATAAAGAAGACACATCTGTAGAATCAGGAGGGAATGAACTGCCCATGTTTGCTGATTTTATTTTCCTGAAACTGGTGATCATTTGTTCTCAACAGCTCGCGGGTTTTTTTTTTTTTTTTTAAAGGTTTTATTTATTTGAGAGAGAGACAGCGAGAGAGGGAACAGAAGCAGGGGGAGTGGGAGAGGGAGAAGCAGGCTTCCCGCTGAGCTGGGAGCCCGACGCGGGGCTCGATCCCAGGACCCTGGGACCATGACCTGAGCCGAAGGCAGACGCTTAATGACTGAGCCACCCAGGCGCCCCGAGTTCGCAGTTTTTTTAATCAAGTTCTCTGTGCATACCTTAGTTGACCAGGGAACCAGAGAATGGAGGAGGTGATGGTGATGGTGAGGATGGTGGTAGTGATGAGGATGATGGTGCTGAAAGCAGCTGACATGTGCTTAGCTCATTATGTATCAGGCGCTGTCCTAAGCCCCTCCCAGGTATTCTCACCTGACCCATACAAGTCTTGTCAGGATTGATATTGGCAGTTAAGCACAATGTGTCTTAGAGAGCGCAGAGGTACATCTGTGCCTGTGAGGTGGGAGGGAGATGGACCAGACAAGAACTAAGATGGGTGATTTGTCCCATGCATTGGAGCTGTTGGCTTGCTGACCTGCACCAGCCAGCCCTTTGAAATGGAGTCTGTAAGGATTTTAACCCGGTAGAGAATGCCACCTTTGTAGTTGGTATGGCTATGTAAATAGTGCTCTTTTTTTTTTTTTTTTTAAAGATTTTATTTATTTATTTGAGAGAGAGAGAATGAGAGAGAGCACATGAGAGGGGGGAGGGTCAGAGGGAGAAGCAGACTCCCCGCCGAGCAGGGAGCCCGATGTGGGACTCGATCCCGGGACTCCAGGATCATGACCTGAGCCGAAGGCAGTCGCTTAACCAACTGAGCCACCCAGGCGCCCTAGTGCTCATTTTCTATAGAAAGTTTAGAGTACACATAAGCAAAAAGAGATAAAATTCACCATTCTGCATCTCAGAAATTACCGTTATTTTTCATGTGTCTGACTCAACTTCTTGTGTGCATTGGTATGTATATTTTTTCAATATAAAATGGTATTTGGTAACCAGTATTCTTACAGCATTTGCTATTCCTCACAATCAGGTACACATTTAAAAAAATAGTTACACCACTTACAGGGTACAGTATAGTTGGTTTCTCTCGCAGGCTGGCAGGAGATGGTAATTTTGTGGCTCCTTCCTTATTTGAAGGTTACTGGTTTTTTTATTCTAGCAAAAATGTTCTTGTCGCTACAGTTCTCTAAGGAAGAAAGGTATCTCCTGTAGTAGCAAGAATAAAACACTGTGTTGCATGCTAAATAGGAATTCTGTTTTAATCCAGCCAAACGACAGCAACAGACAGGCCCCTAGGCATTGGAGCTCATGGAGCTGAAAATTACAAGCGTGTCTGCCTGTCTCTGCCCTGACTGATACTGCCTTTCCTTGCAAGAAAACTAGAATGTGTAGTTTAGCACAAAGAAAGACAATAAAATTCACCCACAGAGTTTGTCCTTCTTGTCCTGACCCCTTCAGCTTTTACAGAACATTTTGGAAGAAAGACTGTACTGTTTTGATTGTGGGCTTTAGGAAATTTTCAGCATTAGGACATTATCCTTGCTTAGTTAATCTTAAAATTTGGTTTTATAAAATTATTTTAATGATAAAATGTGACAAATTAGGGTATCGACTGTTCACATGCTGTGTTTTTTAATAAAAATAGGTCATTTGTGAAAGAAGCAGAAATAAGTCTGTGGAACTGAAGGAGCGGATTAGAGAGTACTTAAAGGGTAAGGTGGGGCCTGGTGCTTGGAGTGTGAGGACCACCAGTGGGAAGGCCCTGGACTGCCCGAGCCTGGCCTTACACTGCGGGATCAAGCTCACCTCTCAGGGTGACAGACCTTCTCAGGGTGATCTGCTGCTGCCTGAACCCCCCAGCCCACATGCCAGTTGTCATATAAATCCTCCTTTGAAGCCTTGAACTTTTCTGGGAGACGGCAAGTTGTCTGTCATTTGACTGTTGCTCATGGCATCACCCCATAATCTCTGGATATCACACGTGGCAGGTCCCTCTGGTCCCTGCTCCCCGAGCACAGCCTGCACGTTGGCAGAGTGGAGGTGGGAGGAGCTCTTTGGTCTGGCGTTTGCTTGGCTTATCAGTAGCTCCCTGTCAGCCCTCCCATGTGCCCCTTCTGCACCACGGCCTGTCTCTCCTTTAACAATTCTCAGGCTCCCGCTTAGGCTAATCTTGTTCACACGGGTCCTGCCTCTCAGTCTTTTTAGCACATGGGGTGAAGAGGGGTGTTTGCTGCTCCCCTTTCTTCCTTCCTTCCTTCCTTCCTTTCCTTCCTTTCCTTCCTTTCCTTCCTTTCCTTCCTTTCCTTCCTTTCCTTCCTTCTTTTCCTTTTTTCCTTTTTTCCAGTGGAGGGAGAATGTAGGGCTAGTTAAAGGAGTCTGGCAAAAACTGGCCTCTCACCCAGAACCTCTGGCTCCAGAGCTTCTGCAGCCTTGTCCTCACTGGATCGCTTGCAGAGCATCTGGTGTTTCCCGGGCTGTTTACCAGATGCCTGACACAGCCACTGAGGTGAGCACCCGCCCAAGCAGATGCCTTACCCGGGTGTCTCCTTCTCCCAGGCCACTACTACGTGCCACTCTTGAGAGCCGAGGACACATCCTCTCCAGTGATTGGGGAGTTGTGGTCTTCAGACCAGACGACCGAGACCTCTCACATCGGCCATGGTGGAGGCGGCCCCAGAGACCCTGTTCTGACCTTGCGAGCCTTTGCAGGGCCCCTGAGCCCATCCAAGGTGAGCTACTGTAAAAGCTTCTGGAAGCAGCTCCTGGCTGTCCGCACCGGAAGTGCTGGGTATTCCAGCTCTTGCTCTGTGTTTGGTCTTAAGGCCACGCCTCGTGGAATCCCAGTGAGCTGGGACGAGGTTTGAGGAGTCTGCTGTCGTAACCCAGTTCCTCACTGGCGAGCCAGGGTGCATGTGGTGGTGAGGCCACGCTTCAGAGAAGTGAAGTTCACCTGGGCTAACCCGCCATCATCACCTGGTTCTTCTGTCCGTATCAGTGGCCCTTCTCGTGGCACATGCCAGTCTAGCTGGGCCGTCCAGTCCCATATTCCTGGATGTGTATCGTCACTAGGAACTTCACTGTGCAAACTGTGAAGTTCACCTTCTGGGCTGAGGTATTTCATACACGGTGTGTCATCTTTCTTGTTAAAGATTTTAAAGGGGTGCCTGGATGGTTTGGTTGGTGGAGTGTGTGACTCTTGATCTTGAGGTTGTGAGTTCGAGCCCCACGTTGGGTGTGGAAATCACTGAAAGATAAAATCTTAAAAAAAAAAAAAAAACCCTCAAATACCTAACATGAGACCTACTGTCTTAACAAAATTTAAAAATAATAATTATTTTATTTTGGGTGCCTGAGTGGCTCAGTTGTTAAGCATCTGCCTTCGGCTCAGGTCATGATCTCAGGGTCCTGGGATCGAGCCCCGCATCGGGCTCCCTGCTCCGCGGGAAGCCTGCTTCTCCCTCTCCCACTCCCCCTGCTTGTGTTCCTGCTCTCGCTATCTCTCTCTCTGTCAAATAAATAAATGAAATCTTTAAAAAAAAATTTATTTTTTATTTATTTATTTATTTAAAGATTTTATTTATTCATTTGAAACAGATACAGAGAGAGAGCGAGAGCATGAGCAGGGGAGAGGCAGAGGGCAAGGGAGAAGCAGGCTCCCTGCCGAGTCAGGAGCCAGACGTGGGGCTCGATCCCGGGACCCCGGGATCATGACCTGAGCCGAAGGCAGATGCTTAACCATCTGAGCCACCCAGGCGCCCCCCCAAAATTTTATTTTTTAAAGATTTATTTATTTGAGAGAGCAGGGGGAGGGGTAGAGGGAGAGGGAGAATCTCAAGCAGACTCCCCACTGAACGAGGGGCCTCACACAGGCCTCGATCCCACAACCCCGAGACCGTGACCTGAGCCAAAACCAAGAGTCAGATGCTTACCCAACTGCACCACCCAGGAACCCCGATGGTAATAATTTTAAATAAATAGTTACTTGCAGTTACAGAAGTGTCTCCAAAAACAGGTGTTACCAGTTAGGGTTAGATTCGGGTGCATAAAACAGAACTCCAATATGAGTGACTTTTCCTCTTGTGTGATGGGAAAGTGACTCGAGGCCCTCAGTGTGGCAGCTCTGAGCCTCACAGCCCAGCCTGGGCCACTGGGAGGGAGCAGGGCTGCTCCCGTATGGAGACTTGCCAGAGCCCTTTGTGCCGCCCTCATAATGTGGCCCTGAGATCTGTCCAGCTACCACCCAGGAGGGCATGATGCCCGGGTGTGTGAGGAGGAGGAGGGATGCTGGGAGGCACTCAGCTGCTCTGTGATGCTGGTGTCCCTGTGACTTGGGTGCACAGCGCAGCTCAGTACGTTTTCTCCTCAGGCAGAAGATTTTCGCAGGCTCTGGAAAACGCCGCCTCGGGAGAAAGCAGGCTTCTTTCACAACGTCAGGAAGACGGATCCAGAAAGAGGCATCGAGAGGGTGGGAAGGTACTGGCTGGCTTAATGTGAAGGGACAGGAGCTGAGTGGCAATGTCGTTCTGTACACTGCATGCCTCTGTGTTGGTTGAGGACAGAAACCAGTTACAGCTGCAAAATGATTGTTCCTGGGAGGTGTTTGTGGGGTTGGGGTAGGGCGATGGGAAGCCTCTTCACTGAGGTCTGATTCCTGCAAACAGTGCACACACTGTGTAGCAAAGATGTCCGCCATCGCGGTCCCTCTCCAGGCAGAGACTAGCGGGACGTGTCCAGGGTGTGGCAGCGTTCTGTCTGATGGGCCATACGGTGGGTGTCTCCTTGGCGGTAAAGCAGGAACTAAAACACAAGAGGTGGGTGTGGCTAGAAGCTACTAGTAAAAAGTCCCTGAAAGGTGTTTTTCCCATAGTGAAGAATCTAAATTACAGTGTGATCAAATAAAGCTACTTTGAATTGTTTTAGAACTTTTTCTCAAAATGTAGTTTGAGAAATACAGTTTCAGGTTTACAGCGTGAACTTGATAAGGACTTCAAAGTTTTATGGCCTGAGCAAAACCAGAATCCTCTCCAACCTTACACAGTTGTTTTAAGGAAACAAGAAGGCTGGTCTTTAGCTTGTGGTGCCAGTGGGGTGCTTGAGGCCCCCTTCTTCTGCCACGACTTTAGTGCGTTCCGTGTGGTGGTCCATGACAGAAACCCTGCTTAGTCTTGCCCTGCTTGAGAGAACACAAAGTACTATTTTAGCCCTCAATTTAAAAATAAAAGTTGTAACTAAGATTACAGGTGTCGTTTGGCACTTTCAGCATAAAGTGGCTGTTTTCTGTGTAGTCAGTTCTGTGAGTTTGGTTTTTTACACCTCGTTTCCAACTGATGGATTGTACTTACTCTTGCAGGGAGCTGGCTCATGAGCTGGGGTATCCATGGGTCGAATACTGGGACTTTCTGGGCTGTTTTGTTGATCTGTCTTCCCAGGAAGGTCTGCAAAAACTAGAAGAATATCTCACTCACCAGGAAGCAGGCAAAAAAGCCCAACAGGACTCAGGAGAAAATGAGGCCTATCATCAGGAGAGCCCCTCTGCCCTTGGTAAGGACACGCAGACGTCTGTAGGTTCTTGGGACTCAGACCCTGTCCTGTGTCTGCGGACCAAGAGGTGGGTCCATGTGAAGAGCAAGCACCTGCTGCTTCTGTCGGCTGCTCATGTTCTCAGCCCACTGGTGTCCTCGCAAGTTAGATGGGAGGTACCAGCCACTGTCACGTCCCACGCGTGCCTGCCCTTGACCTTGGCTTCCTCCTCATTTTCCTGCCTTTGAAGCTGGGGCACTGGAGGCTGTTGTTTCTGGGTGCAGGGTCCTGCTTGGTTTTTCCCAAGGGCAGCGCAGGCATCTTTCTGGGAGTCTTAGGAGGTGGATCTGAAGGAGAGGGCGGTTACTGGTCCTGGGGATTTGCAGCTGTACCGCGTGATCCCTTGCGGACTGTGTCACCCAGTCCTCTGAAGAGCTGCTCGCTCTCTCCCTTGTAGGCCGTGCTCGGAAGTGCAGCAATTCCATCTCTGTGAGGGCATTTCTGGATGAAGACGATGACTTGAGCTTGGAGGAGATTAAAAATCGACAGAACACGGCTCGAAACAACACCCAGCCCACAGTTAGCGCTTTTGGGGACTCGAAGTGTGACATCCTTCCCTTGGAGCAGGAGACCAACCTTATAGAAGCCTCCACCCTGACCAGTCCCCACAGCAGCAAGAATGGGTTCTGTAGCCCCCTGAGTGGCAGCAGGACCCTGGGCAGGAAGAGGCCAGAGGCCCCCGGCACAGGGGAAGCTCTCATCTCACCGGTCTCAGGCTTAATGGTCAAGTTCGATAAACTGAATTTGCAAGGTCTAGAAAGTAATTTTTCTAAGACACCAAGTAAAAATATGAAAACTAGAGACAAGAAGAGCTTGACATCAAGAGTGGATGCAGTCGAGAGTGACTTGTTAGAGCCGCCTGCTGCTGACACACTTAGAAACAACCAAACCAGGACAGAACGCGAAATGTCAGCCAAAATGGCTAAGATACGTCTGGGTCCCGACACTCCTGTGCATGAGGCTCAGCAGAACTGTGGTTCCGTGTCCTCAGAGCCCTCAGGGATCTCCGCTACGAAGGAGCCTGTCCAGAGGCTCTTCCTTTTTGGGTATGGTGGGCTGTGTGCACATGCGGGAGGCCGTGGGAGTGGGCGTGAGCTCACGTAGCACCGTCCCAGTTTTCTTGAACCCATTCTCTAGCCTCAGCCTGGTTGGACGAGCTTTTCTGGCTCCCATCTCTTTCATGAGATTGTAGTTCTTGGTGCTGTGTTGCGATCTTCCAAGTTGGTGGGAGACGTGTTCTCCTTTCCAGCTTAGCCTCACGTCTTGCTCTCTCCCTGGGGAAGTAGTCCTCCGCAGAACAGCTGGAACTGTACCAAGAACGCAGTGTGTTTTAGGAAGAAAGACCATCCTGGGGTAATCTCAGCCTCCCTGGGGACGGGCTTTCTGGGTCAGCCTTCTGGTCAGTCACCCTGGAGGTGGAGACACTCAGTCCTGGGTCCACCACTCCCCCTGTGGGACAGTGTGTCCTGTCTGCCACTGTGGCCTCTGTCCCTCCATAGCCCGCACCGCGGCCCCGACAGCTGGTGACAGAGACGGACGCTTGCCCTTCTGCTTCTGTGCTGGGCCCTTGAGTAGTGGTGTTGGAAGTCTTTTTAATCACGAGCGTTCCTGCTTTTTCTTTCCTTTTTTCTGCCTTACAGAGAGGAGCCGTCAAAACTGGATCGAGATGTTTTGGCAGCTCTGGAGTGTACAGACGTGGACCCTCAGCAGTACCCAGCCGTCCACAGATGGAAGAGTGCCATCCTGTGCTACTCCCCCTCTGACAGACAGAGGTCAGTGGGCCTGCGGGGGAACCTGTCTCACTCCGGGCTTGTGGGTAGCTGGCTTCCGGATGGTCCGGTTGTGATTCACACGTTTTCATGTAGGGGTTCATCTGGAACACTGGTTAGCCAGGCTGACACGCAGCTCCTGCCGTGGCCGCGGCCGGCGGCACCCTGCACAGGCAGGGGGTGTGCAGTTGGGTGGAAAGCAGAGGGGGCTGCTGACAAGGTGGGGGTGCAGGATGGAAGCAGCCGGGAACCCTGGGCAGGGCCACACGGGACTCGTGTGCAAAATCGTAGCTTCTCCGAACCTTCAGGGCTCGTGGTTCTGAGGTCCGCAGCCCCTCTTCTGGAGCCAGGTGGTCCCCCAGGGCTTGGGTGCAGGGCCTGAATCACTGTCAGTGCTGACAGACCTTTCTTGGTTTCCTCAGTTGGCCAAGTCCTGCGCTGAAAGGGAAGCTGGAGTCTCAGCAGCTGGATCTTGGTTGTCCCCACAGCTGCAGCCCGGGGAGAAGCCCCGGGAAGCCTGGGCCCGCACCCCACTCCCCGGGCCTGGGCAGCCCTGGGCGCTATAGCCCCGCAAATGGGAGCCACCTCCGCAGAATGGCGCGCCTGGCCCAGCTCACAGCCTTGTAGAGCTGGGGCAAGCTGCTGGGCGTCTCATTGTCTTGTTTCTAAAGGAAGAAGGGTCATGTGTTTATTGCTAGAATTTACCAAAAAGAATAGACTTTGATTAATTTATTAGTCCTCATTTTGAGAGTAAAAGATTTTTAGAAAGTGCAGATGTTTTGTATAAAATTTAGTTTTCTGGTGTTTTGGGAGAAGCTGATGGAAGCAAATCCAGTTACAAACTTTCTGAAAATCGTCAGTGTGTAACGATGTGGACTTAAGTTCGCCATTCCCAAGCGTCAGACGCCATTCCCATTGTGTGTGCACCAGAAACCCAGGTGAATGCTGGGGCTGGGCTGCCCGTAGCTGCACTCGCTTCAACTCCGTTCTTAACAACAAAGATGAATTTAGTGCCATCTTCCTTTTCTGGGAAGGGTCTCTGACTTTAGTTCCTGATGGAAAATCTTTGTTTTGCCAGTCGGTCCCAGTGGGTTCAACCAGTTGATAAGGTGGATGTCAGAGTAAACAAACCTGGAAATGACTTACACTTGCAAGTTTGGGTCATTACAAACATTTAAACTAGTGTCCAGAAGATAAAACTAGCTTTTGTCTGGGGAATAAATCCTCTGGTCCATGGGAGTCCTGGGAACGGTCCCAGCCTTTGACAGACCAGCAGCCCTAAGGAATCTGCACTTCTTGTTCCTTCGTTTAGTTGCCGGGGTAGTGCCGATAAAATGATCTTTAAGTTCTCCGGTTTTGAGATTTATTGCATATTTCCAAATTCACTTCCTTTGGATTTCCTTTATAAAAGAGTGTTGTGTTTTAGTACAGAAACTAGAGATTTATCTTTTGAGTCCTGGTCAGTTACCTTACTGCATTTATTTTAGCTTCCTCTTGGCCATGACCTTCTGGGGGGGCTCTGCCTGGAGCATGGGGGTCACCTTAGAACCACTGCCACGATTGATACCCAAAACTACACACCTGAGTTGAGGGTTGACTTCTCTCCGGTGCTCCGTGAACATTTCCAGTGTTTGATCCAAAATGAAAAGCTCTACCAGTTTTTGCTAAATTCAGTGCCTTTTGTAAATCATTTTTTATTTTCCTGAAACTTGCTTTTTGCGAATATACAGTGATACTGAGTAGGCGTGAGATTTTTGTTGTTGTTTATAAAAATTCTGAATTGGAACTTGTGTTAAAAAAAAGAACATTTCTTTCGGCTAAGAAGAAACAGGTCAGGAATATTGGAATCAAGATTTAGATTTTAAAATTTAAAAGGTGGTTACCCAGGGTGTTTTTACTTGTGTAACGATCTAGATGTAACACAGAAAAATACAGTCTATTCTAAAAGTGGCATTTATAAAAGGCATCTTTGTTCTCAAAAGAAATTAGAATACAGATAGTACGTTCACTGTTTTCTGTAAAATCCTGTTCCGTTGTTGTTGTAAATATTCAGATGGAAATTAAAAGTGTTTCTGTCCAAATTTTGCAGACTGTGGTTCTTGTATTCTGAAGGTTAGGTTATCTTTGCCTGTTTCTCCATTTGTTTATATAAGGTGGCCCTGGCCCCAGTGAATGCATTATCATGTGTCTTAAGGTGATTTTGCATTCTTTTTTAAGCTACTTCATGAAATAAATTATTATTAAAACCATGTGGTAATTCTAAGCTTTCAGAAAGACTGCTCTTGTGGGTGCCTAGGCAAAATGCCGTTTTTAGTAAAATCTTTAGTGTTGTAATGAAACAGTATGTTAATCTGATCGTGGTGAATTTGCTGTTTTTTTAGCCCTTTTCATTCCTAACATGGTTGTGAAGAACTTGAACTTTCAGTTAAGCTTGCACCAAATTTCGTAATTGCCCTTGGAAATGAGAAACCTTTCTTGTGATGTTAAACAACGGCGTGTGACTTCTTCAGTTCAAGAGAGGTGATGGGGACCCCTCTGCCACAGTGGGGGGTGCTGTGGCTCCAGCCACAAGGCACACGGGAAAGCCCTCCAGTCCTTACCTGGGGACAGCCACGGTGTTGTAGGATGAGTGCCCACCCCGTGGGGCAAGTGTTCATTTGCAGCTGTCTTGGCGGTCTCCCCAGTGGGAGCTGAACCTGGTCCCTGTATGCAGAGGGCAGGGAGAGGCCGAAGAAAGGGCCAGGCCACCCCAGCTTGGGAGGTGGCAGGTTTAATAAGCAGAAGAACTTACATGCGAGGCTCGTCTTGGGTGGCAAGATGAATGGATCCCTGCATCCACCCTCCCAATCTGAAGAGTTTATATAGAAGCCCTACCTGGCTCAGCCCCACCTCACCATCTCAAGGCCATGTCCCTGGAGCAGCCTCTGGGGGGCCAGACAGGTGAGCAGAATCCACGTCCAAGGATGGGAGGCTGTGACGAGCTCACGGGTCAACTGGCAGTCACGTCTTTCTGGACCTTCCTCCTGAACAGCAGGACCACGGACAAATCGTCTTGAATAGTTCTGGGACGTTTGCAGCAACATTCACAGCTTGGCAGTCTGTGGGATTACGGCCCGGACAGGCCGTGGCTTCAGGTGTCATCGCTCACTGCCGTCGCCCTGAGTTGGGTCTGCTTGCTGGGCTGTCCAAGGCACGCACTTTTCCTCGTCTGACGTTTTGCATTTGCGCACAAAACCTGTAAGGATTTTCTGGTTTACAGATTGCACTCATGTTCCTTCCTGACTATCTCAGAAGAAAATATTTTGGAATAAACAGCACAACATAATAGGAACCAACTGCTCTGTTCCCAGTGATGTCAGTTCAGGTTCCCTCATGTTACACAGGTTCCTGATTTGCAGGCTTCATTTTGGCCAAACTTAGGATACTGTTGCTGACACCTCAGAAGTCTTCAGTCATCTGTCCCACCTCAGGTAAGTTTCCATCGTGACATCAGTGGGCCCGTGACCCCATGTCGACACCCACCTCTTGCTCCTCGGCTGCATCCCCACGTGGGCTCGTTTTCAGTTTCCAGAATGCTGCCCTGCTTCTCAAAGGTCAAGTGAAATGCCGCCTAAAGGCAGATCTGAAGGGGCGCCTGGGTGGCTCAGTCGGTGAAGCGTCTGCCTTCGGCTCGGGTCACCACCTCAGGGTCCTGGGATCGAGCCCCGCGTCGGGCTCGCTGCTCTCGGCGAGTCTGCTGCTGCTGCTGCCCCTCCCCCACTCGTGTTCTCTTTCTCAAAAAACAATCTGAAGAAAAAGGCGGATCTGAAGACGGTGCAGAGGCAGCTGCACAACCCCTTGACGGGGGGGACCTGCCACCTCCACCTTCAGGTGTGTGGGTCCCAGGGTCCAGGGCTCAGGCTCAGGGTGGGACACCTGTGTGGCCCTTGCCTTCTTGGGCCTCCTTCCCACCTGAGGCCAGAGGTGTGCTGCCTGTTTCTGTGCTTTGAGAAGTTGGCACAGCCCCTGGCTCACTCGTCAGAACTCTCTAGAAGAGAGTGGTGCGTGGTTGGTGCTGGTGGAAAGCCATTTGCGTAGCTCACCGTCCTGGGTCCGGGCCTTGGCCCCTGGTGGGTGGACGCCCGGCCAAGCCGTCAGCCCTGGGAACACAAAATACCGCAGAAAGAGCTTTCTGCCGCTGCAACCGTTCCAGCAGGTCTGGGGCTGCTGTCTGTTGCGCAGCACGGATCCTGTCTTCTCGAAAACATTCGCAATCAGTACTTTGAGGAACCAGTAAAATAAAATCTTTATTTTGCAGTTATTTCCAAAGTGACAGAGAAATGGATCAAATGTCCCAATTAGTTGCACTGATTGCAGAAAATGTTCATAACCACTTCATAAAAACCGTAGCTTCTCCTAAGTTAACAGACTATTTGAGATGGACATATCACATCTAAATAGTTTAATCCGTAAGCATAAAGGATTAACAACCAGAGGCAAAGACCGAAGAGGACGCCCGGCTGTCCGATCACCATCCAGCCACCTCCCTCACCTGCCAAGGTGCGGCTGAGTGTTGGGAAAGGCCCAACAGCGTCAGAGGTGCAGGACTCTGGACTGAGAAACTGGTTACCAAAGCAGGAACCCAGATGAGAATCTTTAGTGGACAAATATTTAAGTGATAAAAGAGTCTTAAGAAAGGGGAAAAATGCACGACAAGAAGTTCTGGATGGAAGCCCTGGCGGCCCCTCCTCGGAGCCTGTGGCCAACTGTGGTCATGACCAAAGACGCCCGTGTAGACGGACCGTGGTCCCCGCAGACGGCATGCGTGAGGCCTCGTCCTGGAAGACCAGGCAGAAAACCCCAAGAAAGAAATGAGGCCCATCTGCTTGCAACAATGCCCTTTTCCATCCCGGGGCCAGAAGTACAGACTGAAATGCCACATTTTAGATATTTTAGATATTCTTCGTCCTTTTTCACTGTCATCCTGGAGAAGTGCGGTGTAACCGCAGTGCAGCCTGTGGAGGCAAGACAGGGAAGGAGCCGTGTCCTTGGCAGCACCCACGGGAGCCACAGGGGGACTGAGGAGAGCGGGGCCTCCAGGCAGCCCTCAGGAGCGGGAGATCTTGTCCGGAGGCATGAACCCCGTGTCCCCGAGGGTCCTGAGCGCCACTCGGCCATCTGGCCGGACCACCAGGTGGGTGATGCTGCCATTGTTGAGAGACAGGCGGAGCCAGCCTTCTGGAGGAAACTGCAGTGCCCTGGAAGGAGAAAGAACAATGTAGAACAGGGGGCTCTGTCACCAAAATGGGCTGGGGTCAGGGCAACGCTAACAGCCCCCAACCTCAGTTAAGGTCTCGGAGCAGACTTTCTTGGGGCTGGGGCCCATATAGGTAAGTCTGTCTCCTGTTTTCAAGCAGGGGGGTTCTCAGAAAGGAGCTGCTGGGCTGATGCCATCCCATCAAATCAAATAAGGGGCATGGTGACGGCCCAGCCCCTCTTTGGGTCAGGGGATCAACCCAACTCAAGATGGGCACGTGAGTCAGAAATCCATGGCTTCTTACAAGTGCATGTGATTGAACTTCCAGTGTAACCAAAGGGGGGCAGGGGCAGGGGCACGGATCCGCTCCTGACCCATTCTCCCCTAGGAACAGGGTGGTGTAATCCACAACCCCAGGGCCTTCCCTTGCTCTCACACTTCCTAGGCGCAGTATTTGCTGAAAAGCCCAGTATCATCTCGGCTTCCGCAAGTCATCAGACGTCCTTCATGCCCTAAATCTCTACATGGACGAGGGGCATCCCCGTGGCTCACCCTGCAGCCTTGGCAACAACTACCTTCATGCTGCTTTTTCAAGTCTTCTCCATGTCTCCCTCACAATTTCCAGAATGCCCTCCCGTATCGTGACGGGGATGCCCTGGCTCCTCCTAGCCCTTTATGGCACACAAGTCACTTCTACTCCAAGTCCCCGAATACTTCTGGTGTTTTCAGCATTGGGGTCACTTCTAGTGGCTGCTCAGGTCAGCCTGTCCCAGGGTGTGTTCTAACATGGGGTTTCCACAGAGCAGAGATACCCAGAGCAGCTATCAGGGAAGAGTATATGCTGAGCAGAGGAGCTCTGAGACTGTGCCTTCTGGGAGCGCTTTAGTTTGGAGGGTGTGGGGCGCCGTCTGAGGCCCACCCCTCTTTCCCAGCAGCACTCCACCTGGCCTGGAGCCCTGTGAGCAAGCTAAGAAGCCTGGCTCCTGGCATCCCTGTGCCCCCTGCCTTGGATGTCCTGGGCTTCTCACCAGAGGCCGTGCATGTGACACTGGAGGGGAAACGGGCCCCCTCCGCCCCGCCCCCCAGCCCTGACGACAGGCCTAAGGGTCAAGCCCGGTGAGCAGGGACCCTGAGCCTGGATTTGGAGAGTTCCACAGGCCACCCGGCGGGCTGTGTCCTGTCCGACACCCCTGCCAGGCACCGTCACACGACAAGAGGAAATCCCTCAGCTGTTAAAACGCCTGACACACACTTTCTAATGGATCGAGAGGGTGGCTGGGGTTCCAGGTATTTCACGTTTTGCACTAAGTGAGCTTTGGTCAAACACATAAGCACCCAGCTGGCCTAACTGCCTCCAGGGCCCACTGGCCCGTG